TGTTCTACCCGCTGACACAAAGTATTAATTTAAAAGCCAAAAACGTGTTTGGGCTAAGCGCCTCAGAAGTGGACGCTACACAGAGACAGACGCACACACACAGAACCTTGCTGTTGCCCATGGGGTATTATATCATCGTATCGTATCCTACTGACATGATCGTCTTAGACTTCCGTCTCTTTATTACAGCTAAGCCAAGTTGTGTCCAAAGTCTTTATAAATGTCCAAAATGCACACAATTTAAATGGCTCGCTGCGTGCGGCACCATGAAATATGATTCAAAAATTTTGCAATGAATGAAGCGCCATGTGCACAGTGAATACGTGTACTCATGTAAATACATATGAGTATATATGAATATATAGTGAATTTAGTTATGGTCCGGCTGTTTATAGTGCTGTCATACACCATATATGGTTCACATTTCAGTTAGACGGCTCTGACGTGATTCGTATTTTGGTGTAACGAAGCCGTTACATGAAGTTGAATTATCTACACGGCACCAGATACACAGTCATCTATTTATGCATATTGAAAACTCACTCACGTCCAACTACGACAGCTAGCCAAGCCATAGCCACAGCCAGAGTCGTAGTCGTAGTCGGAGCCAGTGCCACAGTGGATGTGGCTGTTGAATGCCCCTGGGCGCCAATGGTGTAATTTCAGTCTAATAGCACGGTTATTAGTTTTCATTGTAATTGATTGATTACTGTCATTAGCCAGATGGGTGATCTTGAGCATATGCATTGGGAACGGCAGCTGTGCGCTCTGTGGACCCTCAGCAAACAAATTAAAGTTCAATTTAATAGACAGCTAAACGTTGCGACCCGGCCCGATATGGTTAAAAGATGCCTCGTTTCAGATAGACATAAACGTATATATACATATGAAAAAAAAAAACGTTTGACTAGCCCTATCGGAAAAACAAACATTTTCGTGACTGTCAAACGAATTAACACCCACGCATCGGTTCCTGAAATATTTGATGGGGCAGACGCTACCTAAATGCCAGCCGTGGCTTTCACTGAGAGTGTGGCAGCAGCTGAGATGTTCTCTGCGCCCCGACAGCGACTGGTACCACATAACTCTGGCCAAATATGTGCGAGCAGGAGTTTCGTATAGTGGCGGAGGCGGGGGGGTGGTGCATCAGGCATATACATATGAACACACGCGCATCCCAACAGGAAAAGCTAACGGATGCCATTACCATATAAAGTCAATGCTGACCTTCATTGCAATCACACACAGCTCCAATAGAGTTGGGAGCTGTTGTTCTTCTTCTTCTTATTCTTGTTGTTGTTGTTTTTGTTGTTGCTGTGCATCGATAACTCGCCGACTACCAAAATTAGAAGCTGCTGTGCAGCATTGTCGTCGTCTGAGCAGGTTTCCACCAGATCTTCGACAATGTCAGCGACTAGTTTCATGAATCAGAACGCAGCATTGATACGACTTAAGCAGAGGCCGTGAACGTGACTGTGGAAAATGTTTAGCATAAGCACATTTATGGGGCTAAGGGCTAAGGTTTATAATATAAATGTTGATCTTTCTTTCTTGCTAAGTCTATCTCTCTCTCTCTTACTGATACGCTATGTCTCTGTCCCTCGCTTCGCCTCTCTTTCTTTTTTATTGACACTCTCTCAATTGGCATCCCTTTATTCTCTCTGATCGTCTATCTACGCGATTCTCAAGAATTCAAAGAAGGTCTAAAGATTTTGGTGTGTTAAAAAATGTTGTAATTAGTCAGCTAACAGTCCTTAAGGGAGGATAGCTGTCATAGCTTGCTTGTGTAGAATTATGTCACTTGAACCTTTTACAGAGTCCCGAAAAGATCTATATCAAGGTTGTGGAGCTGGAGCCAAAGATCACAGCGCTTGGTGACAACCTGGATGAGTCGCTGCACATGCAAAGAGAGCACGACGAGACGCTGCGTAATCTACAGGTAGCTATATACACAAACTGTTCAATCACAATTATCTGACTTTTCCACACATTTTTGCAGAACCTGCCCGGGCCTATGGAGGAGTTTGTGCAAAAGGCCGATAAACTGTTGGCCAGCAAACGCATCAGCTCGGAGCTAGTCAATGCCATGGCGGACACACTGAACATCATTTGGCAGGATATTTTAAATCTGCTGCAGGATCGCCAGCACATCTTGCACTTGTGCACACAGTTTCACGACAAGATGACACAGTGTTTCAGGCGCATGGATCAGCTGGAGCTGGCCTGCGACGAGTCAATGCTGCCCACGGAGGTGGCTGGCGTCCAAGAGTTCCTCAACAAATTCAAACAGCTGCGCATTGACATGCTGACCGGCGTCATGGCAGCACTCAAGGATGGCAACGAGCTATTGACTCAATTGCAGGAGCTGGAGAAGCTCGAAACCCTGGACACGCGACCGGAGCACATCAAGCGGGATGCAACTCGAGCCGTACACCAAGTGCAACAGTGGCTGGAGGCGTTGCACGATCGTCGCAATGCACTGGAGCTGGCCTGGCAGACGCGCAAGACCCAGCTGGAGCAGTGCCTGGCCCTGAAGCTGCTTGGCCGTGAGCTAATCGAACTGGAATCGGCGCTGCAGCAGGCCAAGCAGGAGCTGAATACCATGTACAGCCTGGGCGAGTGCGAGCACTCGGCGAACCAGACATTGCACAAGTATCGGGAGTGGAAACAGCAGGCCCTGCTGCTGCGCGATCGTGCTTTGAAGATCACACGCGCCAAGGAGAAAGTACAGGCACCAGGTCACTTTGCCGGTGATGAGGATTGTGCGCGCGCCTATGCGGTGCTCAGCGGCTGCACAGAGCACCTGGATCTGGTTGATCAGCGAGAGCATTGGCTGCAGCAGTCACGCGATTTCTTTGCCAAGGCGGAGCACACGCTCAGCGTGCTGGAAAAGCTGGAACTGGAGCTGGCCAGCGTGAAGCTGCCGCCCAATTCACCCGAGAGCTACGCAATGTTTGCCAAGGTGTCCCGAGACGTGCGCACCTTCACCGAGGAGCCACTGCGCCTGGGCTATGGCCTACTGGACGAAGTGGGACGCACACAGCCGGAGACTCAGGGCATCAAGCGTGTGCTGGACGAATTGGAGAACCGCAAGGCCTATGTCGAGGGCATCTGTGCGAACAGCAGCGAGGATCATCAACGCGTTCAACGTGCACTGTCTGAATTTCTGGCACAGCACAACGAGCTGCTCGCCTGGTTGCGTGCCTCCGGTCAGCTGCAGCTGCAGCAGAGCGTGAACATGGGTCGCAATCTGCATCAGGCCAAGCAGTTTCTGCTGCAACATCATGAGCTAATGCAGGATCTGGAGGTGAGTTTAAGCACCTGCTTACACAAACTTTGGCTCAACATTTTCTCTCTTTCAGATCAAGGGTGAGCTCATTAATCTGCTGTTGGAGTCCATCAAGCAGCATTTGGAGTCGCTCAGTCCTCAGCAGCGCTACGACGTGGACTCCAAGGCCGAGGCATTGCACAAGCACTGGATAGAGCTGAAGGATCTGGTGCTCAAGCGAGTCGACTATGTCTCCCTGCTCATCCAGTTCTTTGAGCAGGCCAACGAGCTCTCTAGTCAGCTGGATCACGTGCAGCGTCAGCTGCTCCAAACACCTGACGAGCACAAGCTGCAGTTCCTACAGGCCACATGGGCCAACATCGCCGCCAGCTACACTGAACTCAAGTCTTCTGGCCAGCGATTCATCAACTTAAAAGTCCGTATCGGTATCTATGCAACATATATACGTATTATATAGTTTGTTGGAATTCTCTAATGTTAGGGCAGGGCTTCGCATGCGTTTCTGCAGTTTTTTGTTTTTACTAACCGCTGATGTCAGCTGCTGACAGCTGGCACAATTGCAGACTGTCCGTCAGTTCCAGACCAGACTATAATATGCTCCAGCATGATGCAACGCTTGCTATTTTCAGCCCGCATTGCGAATTGCAAAACAAAAGCCAAAGTACATTGGTCGGTGGCTTTTATTATGCTCATGCCTCTAAACAGGTATTATAACTAAATCAAAGAAAAGGGCTCCTCAGAAAAAATTTAACACAAGATACATTTCGGAATAAAAATCTCTTTTTATTGGAACTATATTGTACATATGATATGTCTGATACTTGTCATAATAGTTTTTCGAGCAGTAGAATTTTAAAAAAAAAAATATTTTTAATTCATTTCCTTATAAAATGAAACAGGCATAGCATTAATACATAACACGATTAATTTTCAAATATATTTTAAAGCATAAAGTAGGAAAATCTTTAGTCTGGTACTTATCATATCAGATGAACGGTTTTTTTTACCCAATTTATTTCTCGGGCAGCTACTTAAGATCTCAATCAACACTTTTCTTTCGGCTTAATAGTTTAGTAAGTGTATTTTCCACACAGAGCTAGGAGAATATTTCAAGTGTTGATTGCATCTTAGCCAAGTAATGCAGCCAGTTCTTGTACCTGCCAGCTCAGGCACATAAATTTTCAACAATATGATTTTGGCTGGCTATAGCCCCACCATAAACATATATCAGAAACGACAACGCCATTTTTCCTTCTTACATGCTGCCACGACGTGGGTGAGGGGGACGGTGCTGTAGAGTAGAGCCAGAGTGCGGCAGTCGCATAGAAAGATTTGAAATTAGAAAATTCGCTCGGCTGCCGACGCCTCGAGTCGAGTCGAGTTGAGTCCATAAATAAAAACAGGCAATTTGCGCTGACTGTCTATACATAGAGAGAGGAGACCTATCTCGGTTCTGGTCTGCTCTGGTCTGGACTCTTGTGCGCCAGAACGCGTCAGACCCTGGCCACTGGCAGATGCGTGCCACGTGCCACGCGCTTTCCTCGAATTTTCCAACTTGTCAGTCAAGACACTTGAGGAAGAAATTTAGAAAAACCAAAAAGGCAAACGCAAAACTAAAATAAAAATAAAAAAAGAAAGAAAACAAAGTAAAAAATAAAACAAACTGAAACTGATTTTATTTAATGCTATTTTTAACGACATCGCTGCGCAGATTGTGGATCCATATCTCGAGACGAAATCCTCAGTGCAGGCAGTGGAAGAGACTCTGAACGGCTTCAGTAAGCGGCAGCTCGACGTGACGAGCAGTCTGGAAAATTGGACAACGAGCATTGCGGAAAAGCGCGAAGTGGAATATCTACTTGAGAAAGTCATGAGTGATAACGAGGAGGCAAGTTGCAACGAAAATTAACATCAAATCAAATCTCTCGCTAACATTTTCCTAACCCCTTTCACTCAGACCGTGGCCAAGAGCACGCAGGTGGATACACAACTGTATCCGGTGTTCAGCACATCCAGCTTGGACTCCAAGCAGCTGCTGACGAGCACACGCGAGAAGCTCACCTATGTGACGCAGGACATAGAACGTGCCCAGGAGGAGATACAGCAGCGCATCCAAACCACGCTGAGCATACAGACCAAGGATCAGCAGTCGCTTACCAAGATCGAGCAGGTGATCAACAATTTGCGCATGCTGAAGGCAAAGCTGGATGGCATCAAATACGACTATCGCACGCTGCTGGAGAGTGTGCTGCAGTTCCTCGAGAACATTGTGCAGCTGCGCCGAGAGATCGATGCGTACTTTGCGAAGCAGCAGCAGCATCCGACGACGGCGACGACAGCGGGCGCATCTTCGGGCGTGGAGCGCACCATAGCCGAGCATGAGAAATTCCGCGATCATTGCATGGATAAATTTAGATCGTTAATCACACAATCCGAACTGCTGATCGATCGTGTGCGGGTATTGGAGCCGCCGGGCGCTCGCGAAATCGACACTGATCGCATATTGAAGTTGTTGGAGAATTTGCGCATTCACTTCGAGTCGAATAGCAGCGCCACAATGTCGACTCTGGAGCGTCTCGAGAAGATCGAGCAATTCCGCAGCGATCTGGAGGATATCGATCGCAGTCTGGACAGCGTCAGCAAGCAGTTGCACGATATTAATGGACAGAGTGTCGATAGTCTGGCAGCTGCCAAGACCACGTCGCTGGCATTCGAGTATTTTGAACGTACCATAGAGGTGAGTGAACTCTGCCGGTGAGGCGTGTGTGAGTAGGGGTTCTTGACTAACAGCTAGAGATTGGATGCCAGGTATTTTAATGCTAACATCAATTTTATAGTGTTCAATGCCCAAATCTGTGAAATCGACGCAACATCAGCGACGCTGGGGCCAGACAGCGCATACGTTGGAGGTAGACCAAGTAGTAACCCATCCAAATGCATGTGGCAATAGAAATTTCTCACTCAATTCTATTCTTTATTTCTGTTTTGCATTGCCTGTCGCCCTTTTTGGGTGGGCCACAATTCAACTCACACATAGTTACAGTTGCTATATAAGTAGTAGCAGCCCCGGCACATTCATCAAATTTCCAAAAAAGCGTTGAGACATTTTCGAAAATAAGTACAAATTCAAATTTAAGTTTGAAAATGTTGTCGCTGTCAGCGCAGCGTTGAGCGGACAGCGGCAGCTGTCGTTAGTTTGTAATTAAAAACTTGGGAAATACATCTTGCAGCCAGTGCGGCAGATACAGCTACAGATACAGCTAAAGATACAGATACAGCTACAGCTATGGCTGCAGATACAGATACACAGCTAGAGATATGAAAAATTTGAATGCTTGCCACTTGGCTGTTTTGAAATTCACTCCTCTTAGCTGCACATTTGCTGTTATAAATTGCTTTTGACGTTCTGATCTTTATGGATTTTTAGCCTAGGCACTAGATACAAAAGTATCTATATCTTTTAAGCTCTTTTTGGCTGCGCTTGTGGCCTGCACTTGTTTGCCCAGATATTTGTTTTAGCTGTTGCTGCTTTAATGGGTTAATTAGAGAATGAGCTGTGCACCATGTACTTATTTTTGGCAGACTTTTAACACGATTTACCCTCTGCTCTCTCCACTTCGCAAGCTGCTCGAGAAACGCATTGAGAAGTTTACCGAGTCGACGAGCCAACAGCTGCTCATTAGCAATCCCGAAAGCGAATCGTATGTTAAGGACGAGCTGCGCAAGCTCAACGATAAATGGCAGAGCTTCAAGGATCAAGTGAAGCAGAAACGAAAAAGCCTCAACCAGGCAAACGAGTTCTTCGAGGTTGTCGAAAAGGTAAGAGAAGCAGTTGGACAATTCATCACATCCTCTAATCATACATCTTATCTCTACAACAGATCGATGCGGAGTACCGCGAGATCAGCTACTTCTACAGCAGCGTCTCCAACAAAGTTCCCTATTTGCGCGATGCCGTCGAGGCCTCCAATCTGGTTAATGACATCGAGAAGTATGTGACCAGTCGGGAGTCTGCGCTACGCTCCAAGCTGGACAGCGCATCGCAGTGTGCCCACGACATGAACAAGGTGTCCACGCTGTACAACGACGTGATGAACATTTTCCAAGCGTTCATCAAGCTGAAGATGGACATAAATACGGTGCAGGAGCGCCTGAAGCAGGACCAGCGCCAGCGGGAGCAACGCGAGCGCGAGTCCCGCGAACAGGCGGAACGAGAGCAAGCAATGCGTGAGGCAGAGGCCAGGGAGCGACTGGCACAGGAGGAGCGCACGCGTTTGGAGGCGCAACGTCAACAGGCGGCCATCGAGCAGGCGCAGCGCGAGCTGGCGGCGAGACAACTGTCACTGCGCGAACAGGCTGTGCGCGAGGAGGAGGCGCGTCTGCAGGCGGTGCGTGAGCAGGCGGCCAGAGAGCAGTTCGCACGGGAGCAGGCCGCTCGCGAGGAGGAGCAACGCATACAAACGCTGCGCGACATAGCCAAGCGGGAGGAGGAGCTGCGCCTGCAGGCGCTGCGCGAGGAGGAGGCGCGGCTGCATGCCAAACGCGAGGACGAAGCGAAACTGAAGCGTGAGGAAGAAATCAGGCTAAGGCGTGAAGAGGAAATCAGGCTGCAACGCGAAGAGGAGTCCAGACAAAAGCGCGAGAACGAGGCGCGCATACAACGCGAGGAAATAACGCGTCTGCAAACCCTGCGCGATCAGGTGGACAAGCAGCGCATTGTCACGGAGAACATACGCAAGGACATTCAGGTGAATCAGATCTTCACGGAGCTGCGCTATGCCTCGCCGCTGTTTGTGCGCCCGCTCAAGGATGCGCTGACCCGCGAAGGCGAACGCTTTGTGTTCGAATGCGAGGTCACCGGCACACCGGAGCCGAGCGTCGAATGGTTCAAGGATGGCATCAGCATACAGAGCAATGCGGACTACAAGACTAGCTTTGACAAGGGCATTTGCCGTCTGGTCATTGAGGAGACTTTTGCCGCAGACACGGCACGCTTCAGCTGCCGTGCCTCCAATCTGGTGGGCACTTGCGACACAAATGCCACGTTGACGGTGCGTGAGAACGCCGCCGAGCTGCAGCTGGTGCCGCCACGCATCTTGCGCTTCCTGGAGACCGGCAAGGCCACCGAGGGCACCTCCTTCCAGTTCTCGTGCGTGGTCAGCGGTGTGCCTCTGCCCACCGTGCAATGGTTCAAGAATGACAAATGCATCGACGACTCGCCGGACTATGTCATCAGCTATAACAATGGCGAGGCCCAGTTGCGCTTCGACGAGGTGTTCCTTGAGGATGATGCGGTCTATACCTGTAGCGCCTCCAATCCCGCTGGCATAGAACACTGCTCGGCCAGCCTGATTGTGGAACGTAAGTTTCTTTTCTCTTTTCTTTTTGTTTTTTTTTGTAACATAGTAAACTTTTACCTATCGGTTAATCACTTCACAATCTCGGCTTTTGCAGCACTTGAACCCACTGAGCTGCCCTGCTTCAAGATGCCGCTGCAGAACGCGATGGCGCGTGTCGGACAAAAGATCAAGTTGGAGGCCATGGTCAGCGGTATACCACAGCCCGAAATCTGTTGGCTACACAATGGCAAGCCGTTCCAGCCACGCGACTCAAAAGTGAGTAAGAGCGAGAATCCGTTGACATGTGGGGGAAATTTTACTAAATTCAGTCTGGGACATTTGTTTAGTTGAGTGTATAGAACGAACTTTAGATACCCTTGTGCCACGACCTGCTATGGCAATAATCTCCAAGCTCTACATATAGCCATATAGTCTTTTGCTGAAACCCTAGGGATCGAAATTGTATATATATATATATATATATATATATATAAATATTCGAATTCCATGCCCAACTGTTACACTCATTCTGTCTGGCATATAAGAAAAATGTTTGCATATTTGCGAAAAAGAAATGGCACAGAGTACAATTCCCCGATGGCGCGTTCCCCCCAAATCATATATACATATATCTTCGGCTATATAAACAAACTTTGCTGGAACTGCGAAATAAAAGCAGTCGAAAATCTTGCGGGTGGGCGTTGCATGTACATAGGCATATACTATACGACTCTGCGTATAGTTCCATAGAATATTCAATGAACATGTTTGATATCTTGATTCGCTTTCGCTGCTGACGTCAGCGTTGCGTGTGTCCAGAGAGCAGCAACAGCAGCAGCAGGGGAGGAGGTGCCATCATTAGCTTCATTAGATAGGCGCTGCTCTAGCTTATTGCGAAAAAAAAAACCAAAAATATTAGAAAAACCACAAAATTCAAGGCAAATGTTTTAAAAATACGCCGACGCATAGTACACACTACCAGACCAGACAGTGGAGATGCACATGCACAACCATAAATTACAGGCTAAGACGATGCCAGCCATATAGCTGCAATATTTTGGCATCATCATCTTTGCGGCCAGTTGCAACGAGCCGTGTGGTGCGGCGCAAATCCAATTCACCACAGTCATCTTTCGTTGTGGTGCGTCGTGGGCGCTGTCAGCCAATTTGTTTATTGTGGGCGCCGTTGTTCGTTGGAACATGTATGTATAGACACATATAGTGTATATGTATATCTATACTATATACAATGTGAAAAATTTTAATTTAATTTTTTTCAATTTGAATACGAAGACAAAAACGCTTTTGGCCAAAAGCAAAATGATTTCATTGCTTTTAATTGCCTTTTTGACAAACCAAACATGATCTCATTGCGTTTAACGGATTAAACAATTAAGCGATCGGTCTATATACTAAATAATGCAATTATCCGATTAGATATACATTTTACTATTGTACTTTTGTAGTATTGTGAGGTGCTGCCCCAGTGTGGAACAACACCTGTACTCAGACGCTTCCTGCAATTTGTGGGGCTAAACAAAAGCATTTTCCAGTTTCTTTACCAAAATAAACAGCACGTCAGCCAAATATTATGTGGAAGGGGTGAGGGGGCTCTGGAGCTCTCGCTAGTAGACTCCCGCGCCGGATACGCACACAGACACCGCATCCGCGCGCCAAACATAAATAAGTTTTTTGGGGATGGGTGTAAAATGAAAATTAAATTGCAAAAAAGCATACAAAGAGCACAAAAACTGGCACAAATTGAAAGCATTAGCCATTAGTCTAGAAACTCAACACAAGGCCTCGTCGCCTTCACTATTCAACACGTGGTGAATATGCACACTGAGATGCTCGCCGCAGTCAATGCTTAATACATTTCAATTTTTCAATTCAAAAATTTCAGTACGAAAACGGTCGCGTTACGCTGACAATCCCCCAAGCTTATCCCAACGACGCCGGATCCTACGTATTAAGTGCCAAGAACTTAGCTGGAGAGGCTTACAGCAGTTGTAACATCATTGTCAAGGGTCGTCTGCCAAACGAGACGTCCGATTCTGAGATGGCCAGCGATATTGAGCCCATCAGGCCGGCGGTACACATCCCACTGAAAGATGTCTCCATATTTGAGGGCAAGCCCGTGCGCTTGGACTGCGTGATTGTGGGTCAGCCGGAGCCAGAGGTCATTTGGTATCACAATGAGCGACCCGTCAAGGAGTCGGCGGATGTGCAGCTACTGTTCCAGGGTGATCGCTGCTCCCTGTTCATCCAGGAGGTGTACCAAGAGGACGCGGGCAATTATAAAGTGGTTGCCATCAATTCGGCGGGTGAAACGTCAAGCAGCTGTGACCTGAAGGTGACACCGCTGAACATGTCGGAGCCAGCAACCCGAGCACATATCGAACGTCAATCACTGCCAAAGGAAACGCAGCCCAAATTCGAGCGTCTACTCTCCGATGTGCTCGCCGATGAGGGCGAGCGGGTGGTGCTGGAGGTGCAGACCAGCGGCGATCAGCCGTTGAGAGCACAGTGGTATCTCACCAACAAGGAGCTGCAGCTGGATGATCGTGTCGCCACCCAATGCGATGCCGAGGCGGGCATATTCAAGCTGATTCTTAATAATGTGGCTGCCAGCGACAAAGGCGTCTACACGGTCAAGGTCTCGAACAACGCGGGCGATGCCAAGTGCTTCTCGCATCTGATTGTTAAGTCCGTGAATGCCCCTGAGAACCGTCGGAGCAGTCAATCATCGGTAGAAATTGTCGAGCGACATCTGTGCCCCGAGTTCAAGGAGCTCTTCAGTGACAAGCAGGCGCAAATCGACGATGTGGTCAAGTTCGAGTGCATTGTGCTGGGCAAGCCCACGCCCAAGGTCCATTGGTATTTCAATGATCAGCCGGTGCATGGACACAATTTTCTGGTCTCCACCAGCGGTGACCGTCAGGTGTTGACCATACAGCAGTTGACCCACGATGCCGTCGGCAAGATCAGCTGCATGGCCGAGAACGAGGCGGGAAAAGCCACCTGTGTGGCCTTCCTGAATATCATTGGCAGCAGTCCGTTGCCCGCCTCCAGCGATGTGCAGAGCATGACCCAGGAGCATAATACTGAATCTTCGCGCGTGACCATCAAGAAGCAAACCTTTACGACCACCTCCACATCCCAGGTAAACTCCTATGAGGGAAATGTTCCACAAACTGAGGTGCATCATTCCTCGGCGCACATCGATCAGTCCCTCAAGCAGCTTGGACAACAGCGACCGGAAATTGTCGAGAGCCATCAATACCAAGAGCTACACAAGAGCAAGGAGATGAACAGTCCCAGTGTGCAGCAGAAATCGTTTACGCTGGTGCAGTCCTCCTCCAATGGAGCTGCTCCACTGCCAGCGCTGACAATGCCCGAATCGCCCACGCGACTGCGCAAGGAGATAGCGCCGCGTTTCACCACGCCCCTAACGGGCAAGATTGTGGATCAGGGCGTCAATGTCAGCATGGAGGCCATCTATGATGGTTATCCCTCGCCTGAGATCAAGGTGGAGAAAAATGGCGACCAGCTGTTTGAAAATGCACACACAAAAATATCCAACAAATTCAATCGTGTGACTATTGAATTAAAGGAAGTGGGCGTGGCAGATGCGGGACGATATGCGGTGACCGCATCCAATGCGGTGGGACAGTCCACTAGCACAGCGGATCTGGTGGTGAAAAGTAAGTAATGTCATTGTTAACAACTTTATGATTAGAAATATGTTAGAGTAACGATGTTAATGTTGATGTTATAGACAACTGTTAACATTAATCTGAATTTCGAGCTCTAATGCAATGTGGAGTACACAAAACAGGGAATATATATGAGCTGTATTAAAACATAACAGATTGTAAAAATGTTAAAATGACGCTGTTAATATTGATGTTAAAGTCAACTAATAATGTTAACACACCTTTAAACCAAATTTCGTGCTGTAATGTAATGTGGAATATACTGCATATACTTATAACAGTTTGTAGAAATGTTAAAGTGACGCTGAAAATATTTATGTTAAAGAGAACTGATAATGTTAACAAAAGTTTTTAATTAAGTTCTGCGCTCTAATGAGCTAACCAATGTGTGGTACATAAAAAATAGGGCACACACATATGGCCTATATCGTATGTCAATACTTGTCCGTCCGTCCGTCAGTCCCTGCGCCACATCAATCAGTTGGGAGCATTAAAGTGTCATTGTTGGGGGCGTCAATAGATCTACAAACGTCAATGCCGACCGTTTCGCATATTGATGAGTTTTTATTGGCGTTCGCTGTTTTTGTTTATATTCAAAACTTTTGCTAGCCCGAAGGGGGAAAATCTTGCCCAATGCAAAGTTTTTTCTTCTTACACAGATATTTCTAAATTATTTATTTCTTTTGCCTTTTGGTACGCGTTTGGCTTTAGGGGGTGAGCGAGTGGATCTTGGGTGGGGCAGAAGTGTGCAATAATTATGTAAATTTTGTTGAACACAAGTTTTTGTTCATTTACTCGCTGTTCGCGGATTTGTCGTCGTGTGTGGTTGGGTGGCTAGCTGAAATGTGTTTGAAAACAAAAAAGAAAAAGAAAAACAAAAAGAAAATTATTTTTACTGCCTGTCTACACGAATTACTCATTATAGCTGATCATTTGGACGGCTGTACAAGTAAATTATTTTTGCGATATCTTTAAGATCTGTTGCAATGACATACAAAAGCTAATATTTATTTTCTGTGTGTTGTGGCTTTCAACTGAAAGTGGCCTGCAGCCACAGTGAACCACAACACATGGACCGCAACTGTTGGCCAATTCTTCTAACGATTGCCTTCTTCTATCCGTCGTGCAGAGACCATTTTTCCGCCAGTCTTTGGCCGACGTTTGCAGGCGCAGGTTAGCAAGAAGGGCGAGCGATTAATAATGGAAGTGGAAGTAACTGGACTGCCGGATCCGACAGTCACTTGGCTGAAGGACGATAAACCCCTCAAGGATGCTGGCATCTCAGAGCATCGCCTGCTTGCCCAGGGCAACTCATACAAGCTGATCATCGAGAAAGGTGAGCTCTTCTGGTGTGCTCTTTAGGGTTCTCTCAACTAGCTTTTCATTCGCATGCAGCCCAAACGACGGACTCGGGCAAGTATATGGTAAGGGCAACTAATGCTGGCGGCGAGGCCAAGAGCATTGCGGACTGTGCCATATTGGAGCCATCGCCGGAACGCATGCAGGAGGTGGTCAAGACGATCATATATGAGGCGCCAGCCAGTGAATTCAAAACTGAAGTAAGTGTGCATGTGCTCAATATATAAAAACGATTCTGCATTATCCATCTGATATTGTATTGATCTTATTATGACTGCAATTGGTATCTATCTATCCTCCCACCTACATATCACATATATTTGACTGTATCGAACTGTTAATCTATTCTATACGAATCTATACTATACTTTACTATTTCTTCGACTTGTTACGTTCTTGACATGATTTATATATATATATTTATAATAAACAAATCTTGTGAATTTCTTCTCTCATTGATTTCGACGTTGTTCGTTTCGCTTTGCTCATCACACACATGGGTTCTCATGCAACAACATATACTATACACACACACATATCGTATATCATCAATCGTACCACCATAGAACCACTTCAAGAAAGAGCCCCAGTCATATCAGACCAATCAAACCGATGCAACCACTGCCAACGATCTGCATGGCCTGTCCGAGTCGAAAGTAATCACTGAGCATCGTTGCACCACCGAGGCAACGATGCGTCTAGAGCACAAATCGACAAATCTAGACCTGCCCGAGCTGAATCTGCGACCAAAGACACCAACCACCACAACCACCACCAACAACACCACCAACAACAACAACACTGCCAGCATGGATCAGACCGATACACAGGCCAGTTATAAAACTGGAGTTACACAAACCCCGCCGCCAGTGCCACCCAAGCCCTGTACTCCCGTTGTGGCCACGACCTTTGGCCAGCAGCCACAGCCACAACCACAACAACCAGCGCAGATGCAGACGCAAATCAACACCAGATATGAGAGCAGCACCAGCGAACATAAATCGTCCTCGTCCTTTGAGTACTTCAAGAAAATTGATGAGGAAACCCGACCCAAGCCTATGGGACGTCGGCCTTTGGAGACGGTGGTGCGTCAGCCGCAGGCTCAGACTTTGTCAGAGGAGCTGAGAAGCATGAATCTCATACCAGGAGCACCGCCAGAATTCTGTTACACGCCCAAAACAGAGAAGCAGCTGCCCAAGCAGCCGCTCATCCATGAGAAGATCAAGATACTGGAGGAAGTGCAGCCAAGGGAGCCACCACCACAAGGCGGTGTGCCCGTCTTTCCGCCGCCCCTCAACCTGCAGAGCGTGCAGCATGAAACAACACTAACCAAAGAGATCAAGGTGGACTACGGACAGCCTATTGTGCGTCCGGCGGCGGTGCTGGCGACTCCTGCACAGCAGAATACGCGTTCGCCATCGCCGAAGCCATCGGCGGAAGGCGTGGCCATGTCGAAACTGTGGACGCCCAGCGGCACCGCTGGCTACACGAGCGATGTGGAGCAGAAGACAGAGCAGCAGATCAGCATCAACAAGCTGGCCACACCCACGCCCACCAAGGAGCTGAATGCGCCCTTCCTGGTGCAGCAGGTGGCCAAAACTATAACGCAGCCGCCATCATTGACGCCCGCACCGGCTGCAGTTACCCGATTGGTGAACATTGAACTTGAGCCGGGCACACCGCCAGAGATTTGCTATGCTCCCAAGCAGCCGGAGGAAGTGCGTCGCCATTCGCTGGTGGAGAGCATGGAGCAGAAACTAGAACAGAATCTCCTACAGGGTCCCAGCAAGGTGCTGCCGCATTCGGTGCCCACTTTAACGCCTGTCACGCCGCCGAAATCCAACTGCTCCGCCTACCGCCCACCGCCGCCGGTCATGCCCGGTCGCCTGGGTGCACACTACGAAAGCGACTACGAGAGCGATCGCTACAAGTACAGTGGCAGCGAGTCCGATGAGCCGGGCAATCGGGCGCGCCAGCAACAGGCCACCATGGAGACATCATTCAAGTCGAGTGGCTACGCAGCGGACACGGAGGAGCACTCCAGCTATCGCAAGTCGGAGAGTAGCTTCTATGAAACCAAATCCTCGACAGCGACGAACGCTGCACCAACGCAAGCCAAGCTGCAGCCAGAGCCACCGGCGCAGCTTTACTTTACGCCCCAACCTCAGGCTCCGCCGCAATCGAGCTACAGTCAGGAGGCGAAGGTTCGCATAGATCTCTCTAAACTAGACTCTATATATACTACCGTATATATATATATATGTGTGTTGTTGTCATTGTTGTTGTTGTCGTTGTTATGTGTAGCACTTGGAACTGGCTGCGTCCTGTTCCCCTTGTCACCTTGTTGTTGCCTCGCTCCCTCACTCTCTCACTCTCTCTTGTTGTTATCCTTGTCTAACCATTCTCATAAGCTGGCTTGCCCCTAACTCTCATTCAACATGCCATATTAACATTGCGTTTGCTCAGCCCATTTAAATGTTAAAGATATTGCACTTTTATACCATTGTAGAGCTCATGTAAAAGACGTGTACAGACCCGTTAAGTATACACCTTGATTAGTATCATGTCCGTTTGTCTGTTTCGATTTAAACCGATCTGACAGCGTTTCATTATTAAACTTTGCATGGGCCTGTCTCTCTTTTGCAGGCAGTACATGAGCCAGACTTGGGCCGATCGAAACAATATATCGTATGAATCGGGCATCAAATCAAATTCTTGTTTAAAAATCTTGTCATATACTAGCTTCACTGTTTCTCAAGAGCAGCTTGTCAGCATAGGAACACTATATGATATAGCTGCCATAGGAACAATCGGTAGAAAATGAACATACTCAGCATCTATAATACCTACAAACCCCTATTAAAGCACACTACTATTCTTAGAGCAATCAGTCGGAAAGAAATTGATTCTCTAATTATACTTCTCAAGCACAAGTCCACAAAGGCAAAAAAAAGAATATCTCATCTTATTTTAGTTTCCTTCAAATGATTCGCCTTATCGTGCATTTTCGTGCTATAATCTTTTACCATTTTCATATTTATGTGTATATTTATTAAACCAAATACCTAATTATTTTAATGCATTCGCCTGATATCTAACACTTTTTCGTTGTTTTGTGACTTTGTTTTCCCTTTAATTGCGATCTTGAATATTAATCGTAATGCTCTCTTTCACAGAATTACAAATACACCTCGTCGAGCATGTCGAGCAACATGCAGCAGAGCAGCAGCAGCTCCACCCATCACGAGACCAAGTACTCATCGAATGCCACGCCCCTGGTGACGTCCAGCCCAGTGCCGGCACAGCGTAAGACGCCGGCGGCGGAGTTCAGCGACTACAGCAGCGAGGTGGACGAGCGCTTCCGTTCGGTGTCGCGCGCCAATGAATCGGACTCTGATATCAAGGGCTATCGCGTGGTATTCCCACCGACGCCCACACCGCGCACCAACATTGCCAATGGTCACAAGTCGCCGGTGGTTGTGGTGACGCCATCGCCCATGGAGTTTGAGCCGACGCCACAGCAGCTGGGCAGCTATACGCGCCCCAAATTCGAGCCCATTGGCAAGGAGATACGCCACGAGATCAAAACCGAGACTAGCTCCAAGCAGTATCAGACAAGTCAGCACCAGCAACAGCAGCAGCAGCAGCAGCAGCAACATGTCTTCAAGCCGAAGCCTGTGGCGGCCAAGTTTATAGCCGCCACCCAGCAACAGCAGCAGCAGCCGCTGCCCAGCGCACGCCCGACCATGTACTACAATGCGGTGGCAGGTGCGCCCATGCACATGGCCAAGGTGGCCCACGAGACGAAGAATGTGATGCAGATGCACGAGTCTACGGAGAGCTCCCAGCGGGTTGTCAATATGCAGCAGACCAAGCGCGTCATTCACTTTGACAGCCAACAGCAGCAGCAGTTGCAGCAGCAGCAGCCACAACCAGCTCTGGAGCCGTTCCCCTATAGCCCGGCGGGCAGTCGCACGCCCTCGCGTCAATCGCATTTGCCGCCGCCGGCCACGCCCACCAAATTTATACCAGGCGAGTTTCGGGAGAGCGACTACGAGAGCGAAGTGGAAGGCGCACGCATTCAGCCGCTCTGGTCACCCTACGGCGATGGCCTGACCAGGGGCTATCGCCGTGTGGCTCCGCCGCAGACCGCGGGTCGCTCCTGCAGCCTGCCGCGCACCTATGAGCGCGTGCTCTCGCCCATGGAGTTCGACCGTGGCCCGGAAATGCCCAGCAAGATACAGGTGGATGTGAATACGTTGCGTAAGGAGCAACGCGGCGGCAGCACGGTGACCACACAGCATCGCACCCAGTCCCTCAATCGCAACAGCACCATGAGGCAGCAGCAGTACGGCAGTCGGCAGCAGGATGGCTCCCTGGACCAGACGGATCAGCAGCAGCATCTGCGAGCGGGCACCTTGCCGCGCTACGGCTACAGCACGCTGCACGAGCAGGCCGAGGGTCAGGGCAAGCGTATGGGCTCCACGTTCCTACAGAAGTCACATCAGTTCATCGAAGACGTCAGCAGGGACATGCAGAGCCAGCAGAGCAGCTCGAATGGTCACGTTCTCCGTCCGGGCTTCAGACGCGCGCCCAGCGAGGGCAGCAATCAGCCACAGGCCTACAGGGATGAGTCGCGTGTCTCGCAATACGGTAAGTACAGTGAAGCTTTTTCTGAATACCAAACTGACTGTAGAAATGGGCGTTGCATGCCCAAAACACACAAATTGGTTCCATTCTAATTGGTTGAGATTTTAGATTTGAGATTGAAGATTTGAAAAATTCTTTTTGCGCATCAAACTAACTGCCCATAAAACCATTTTTGTATATGTTATCTCTAAGTTTTGTACAAACCTTTCCAATTGTCAACCCAAAACAAAAAAAAACAATTAACCAGGCACCAAATGCGTCGATCCGAATACCGGTTTAATCTATTTCAAATACGACTTTGGCTATGAGTTCGGCATACTCTTTCCCGGCGAGGGTCACAAGTTTGTGAGCAGCCAGTGGAACAGCAAAGGCGCCAACAACTCCATCCATAACAATGGCCGCCACTCGCCGTATCCTCTGAAGCTTGCCGCTGGCAATGAATTGGTCATACCCGTGCAGCACGAGCGCACCCAGGCCACGCCCATCGCCAGTGCCAGTGCCAGTGCCACGCCCCAGGGCTACAGCTCCGACAGCGAGACACAGCGTCGCGGCTATGGCCGCATCAGGTCGCCAATGGGGCCACGTTTCGCCCAGAAGCGCTACAGTCTGCCCAGCTGCCACAGCCTCGACATTCATCTAGATCGCCTGCACGCGCAGGCGCCGCGTCTGCCGCCCGATCAGATGGTGCGCACAGGTACAGATACAGCGGGAAGCCAATCTAAACCAGGCAACTGGCTATCTATCGATGTTGTCAACTAGTCTAGGACACATTATTGTTGTAATTGTTGTTAATAGCGTTCAGCAGCAGCGCTTCGATTGCGTACACTAACCAATTTTGATAATCGAGTACAACTATCGATTGTCAAAATTTATCAATCAGCATTGCTTAAAAGTCTGCGCTTAAATTGTGTGTGATGAGTAGTTAAATACCTATACCCAGTACTTATTAAAATTGTATGAAAAAGGGGGAAGTATGGCTGAATGTCTGCTTTTGTGTACAGGGTATTTGCTAACTAAGACTCATCACACCGTTTAACAGGAAATGATCAGATCAGAGCTGCTGCTGATCGCCGCTTTAAGCTTTGCATAGTCGTGAGCTGCGCCACACGGCGTATACTTGATTTAAGTGCCTCTTCGCTAATCCCATCCAACTGCATGCTAACCCAAGTTGTGCTCGTTTCTGTTGTTGCATGAACCGCATTTCGTTTTGTGTCTTGTGTTTAAAGTGCAAATATTCTAACAAAAATCAAAACAAATGAAAAAAAAAATGCTCGTTGTTGTGTTGTGTCTGCCTTTGCCTGTGTGTGTTAATCCCACTAATGGACGCTGCTTTAAGCCAAATCTGCAGTTTCTAATGGTTCTCCAACATCATTAGTGCCGGAATTGCCCAATACGGAGCCCGTCAATGCCCATTTGAATCGCGATGAACAGGCACAAAGGCCGCCATTATTCATAACGGTAAGCGCAGTCATTAACCCGGCTCCCGGCTACCGGCCCCCCCGGGTGCCCGGGCAACCGGGTCGCTTAACTTACTAAACCTGGTAATTCTCTGTTCTATCTATGGCACAGCCCCTGAAAGATATTGCGGTGGGCGTGGGCGGGACCGCCCGTTTCGAGTGCATTGTGCAGTCGCATCCGCAGCCGCAGGTAAACTGGACGCACAACGGTGGCCATTTGGAGCAAAGCAGCCGGCATGTCATTGAATACCGGAACGGCGTGTGCCGTCTAACGCTGCCCCAGGCCTATACGGGTAAGTTGCCCAGCAATTGCAATTCGACTGCCCGGCGAGCTCATTAATCGTTCTCCCCCCGCCTCCTCCCTACCCATTACTCTGACATCCCTCCGGCAACATTTTTGATTCATTGCAGATGACAACGGCAGCTACGTTTGCAGCGCCAGGAATCCGTTGGGCGCGGCCAGCACTAGCGGAAATTTGAACGTTTCGAGCACAAATCGTGGATTTAGATATTAAGCTACACATTTAAATAATTTATATATATACATATTTATTTATTTATGATTTGTTCATGCCAAAGTTTTACATTTTATTGTGTGTGCGTGTCTCTAATTTTGTTATTTGGTTTTGATTTGCACCTGCGACCGTATGGATCAAAACTGGCAGCCCCACTGCGTACACTGCTGTGGGCGTATAGTATTACTTGTGTTTTTGTCGACATTTCAAATAAATCAATTCGAATCAAACATAACTTTGTTTCTCTAACAATTTGCACATGAAAACTTTTCGGCTGATCGCCGATCGCTTTTTATTTGAATGCGCGCCAGAAGCTGCTTTGCTGGCGCCCTCTATGTTAAAATGTGCGCAGTCAGTTCGAAAAAGTTATGCTCTATGTTCGAAAGCTTTCGAAGTGCATTTTAGCGTAAGATGGCGCTAGCTGATCGTTGATCCTCTGTCATCAGAATATCAATTTTAAGAAATTTTATTTAACAACTAGTTGAAAATATGCACTAGCTGATTTATGTTAAACACATGGATAAATAGTATATATATTTGAGTACAGGAAATAATTTTTCAAATTTATGTTTATATAATTGTGTTCAAGGCTTAAGAGCGTATCATTAATTCTTAAGTGCAAATGCCAAGAATTTTGTTAGTTTTAGTCAATTAAATATGATATATAGACACGCGCGATCATTGGACATACATACATATAAGTGTGTGGGCTTTAGTTATGAATATAAAAGTTATAGAGTATTTAGAGTAGTTGCATTCAAGTACCAATAATTTCTGTTGAAATGCGAAATGGGTCAACTTGTCAACTATTTAGAGCCTAAAAATTAGGTCAGCTAATTAGTGTGGCAGATGCTTCATTAAGAGATTCAAGTGTTTTTTAAAACAACATGCTGTCGCTAAATTAAACCAATACGATTCATCAAAAAATAATATTTCAAAATACGAAATAATCAAAACGGAATTGCTTAAGCAAATGTTGTTGCTTTGCTTACTAAGAGACCAGGAGCAGAGGGCCTTGCGTGGGTGTTTGGCTGACCGACCGACAAACTTGTTGTTGTTGTTGTTGTTATTGTTGGCTGTTTGGGCGATTTATTTGAATTTCAACAATGTTTATTTATCTATTTTTCTTAAAATTTTCAAAGTGTTCGCCCGTCGGTGTGCAATGCGAGTGCTTGCCAAGAATAAGAAATGAAACAAGCCGCGCAATATGCGAAAAATTCGTACAAAGACAGCCCAGACAAAATAAACACACGCTAGCTAACAGGCCCACAAGGCCTGTCAAGGTGCCACAGAGCATCCGAAAAACTAGTCCAAAATGTAGCCCAAGTCCTTGACACTGACCAAACAGTACCTGATTGGCATAAGGCGTATTTATAGCCGGCTGATTCGAAAAACATTTCAGATGACACACTTCGGGCAATTGCGTGGGCCCAAAGTGCCTGCCAAAGTGCCAAAGTGCCAAACTGCCAATTCTCGTGTACTTTTGGGCCACCTGAACTACAACAAGACGAACAACAACAAAATTTGGATGCTAGTCAAGAAATCTGAATCACTTGTTCTACAATTATCTGTTACTTAGTGCACCTCTTTATAAAATATATAATCGCGCGATAATTTCTTGAAATTGGTTTGCCACACAAAAACCGAGGCTATTCTATATGTGTGCAAGATTTTCTTTTAAATGATTCATAAAAGTTGTTCGTTTCCTGCGCAGCGAGCTGACAACATATTATGGCAGCATAAATTTTCAGTTTGAAAGGAAAAACTAAAAATCCCACAACTTGATTTTCAGCATTGCTGGCCTTGTGCAGCATTTTTTTTTTTGGCACATTCGCCAATTTCGCATGCTGTTCAATATATAAACACATACTCTACCATTATGTTTTGCCAGCCGATATTGAAAATGTTTTTGTTTTTTCTCCAATTCGAATGCGTGGCCAGCTTTTGTGCCTGTTAAGTCCAAACATTTAATAGTATTTGTTTTTCTGTCTAATGAAAACTTTACTGCGATTATATCTACGCGTTTGCAAAATGTCCACAAATCCTGTTGGAAATCCGTTCGGAGATCGAAAGAAAATACGAATTTTTGTGTGATGAATATGCCGCAGCTATACAAACATTCGTTTGATGGTTTTTGTTTCTCTGATTTTTCTAAATTAATTAGGCAATTTCTAAAAATAACAAAATGAACTCAACGCGAGTCACACACAGATTTTCGTTTGCCACTTAAAATTGTTCAACATCTTGCCAGCCTCCATTTCAGTGGCAACAAACAACTCGATAAGTCCAATCTTTGGAAATCAAATAATACCAATATTAATCTCTCCCAAGATATTTCTCATGGATATCGACTTGGGTTTAAAAGAGGTTACATGGGTTGATGGATTTGGGATTTTTATTGGGATTATATTTAAATAAGGGCTGCCAGCCTACAAAATAAAATTTTTTAGCTCAAATCTTAGTTTTTTTATATATTTTCGAAGCTTTAAAATAATTCAATTTTAATATACCTTTGCCCGTTGCACTTAAAATATTGCAAGCCGTAAATATTTTCATATGCAAGATGCGGGCTAGATTTTTTATCTACCCAAAATTGGCAGCTATCGAATATCTTAAGATAAATGCAAATATTGGGGCCAAAGTTATTTACGCTTTGGTGATAGGTCTACCTAAAAAACTTTTAATTTTATATGAAACTCTTTTTGTAAGCTCTTCTGTAAAGTAAAAAGATAAATTGCATTCATCCCGTTCAAACCCAATTTGCAGCCTTGATTGGAATGCAGCCTTATAGCAATTTTGAAGTATTCAAGACTTCTGATAGCCTGTGAATTCTAATATAAATAAATATATAATTAATGTCAATTTCACAACTGCGTCGTGGCGAGTGTTGCATTTCACAAATTAGTACTATATGGAAAAATACTCGGCCAAGAGCCCGCCATCATCGGTGGGCACTTGTCTTGAATAAATAATAAAATATTTCCGCATGAGTGTGTGTCAACGTCGCGATCTATAGACATATACATTGGCTTAATAAGTACTATTCTTAAGCCAAAATAAATATGTATTTGTATATGTAGTAGATGGATAAAAGCCAACAACATTTGATATTATAAGCAGTTGAGCGCATCGTAAAATTGTTTTCCTACATTGGCCGCCCACGAGAATTGTAATAAAACAGACGCCCAGAAATCGCGAAAAACTACGCAAATCCTCATGTGCCGGAATGTGCCAGATACTTTTAGCACTTCAATTTGCCCAAACAGATTGAGCATTTAGCGAGCATACAAAATTTAATGTGTATATATTTTAATTAGCCAAATAACCAGACGAGACGCCTCAATATCAAATCGCAGGCGCGCACAAAATTGAATTACATAATCCCACGTTGACAGACTGTCCGATTTACATATGCTATATAGCTATATAGCTGTGGCACGCGTTGACCCTGCCAGTTTTCAAGCAACAACAATTCAGCAACTGCCGAAATGTTGGCACCAAATTTATTTATACGCACGCTGTAAATTAGCAAGAAAATAAGAGGAGAAAGAGAACAATTGAAAATGCAGCAGCAAGAGGAAAAATCAGCAAACAGTGCGAACGCTGTGAATTTTATTTCAATTTAATGAAAATGAGGCCAAGTTTTCAGCAGCAACAAAATTCGCGCACGCATTTTAGCATTTGAGTTCGTAAATTTGCCGCTAATTGCCAAAAAGAAAACGCCAAAAACAACAACAACAACAGCAAGCAGCCGCCAGGGTGGGATCGGAAAATTCATAGTTTGTTGTTTTTCTTTGTTTGTTAATTGAACTGAAAGCCCAAAAACCATGCAGCGCATGCAGCCATATAAAAACCATTAAGCCAAAACATTTCCGTATCTCTAATTGTGGCCGCTCACATAATTGCAGATCAGGGCACGCAAACGGATTGCCTGCTCATAACCGAGGATTCGGATGAGGGGCAGCCGCCACAGCAGCAGCCAACCAGCCAGCAGGAAGCGCATAAAACGCCACTACGCAAATCTGCATCCTTTTCATCCTCGACCCCAGCCTCACAGTCGCCGGGCAGCTCATCGCTGGGCTCCGCCACGTCGACCATGTCGCTGCGCTCCTCGACACCGCAGCGCGTTGGCGGCTCAACGCGTACGCTGCGCAGCGATACCATCAACACATTCCAGAAGTGGGAGACAACAGTTGAGTCCATCAGCTATGTGAGCACCAAAACTGTTTCGATATCCGACTTCAGCCAGGAGCCACAGCTGCAGCACGGCCAACAGGCGCAAGCAGGTAAACCAGCTAATTGGGTTAAGATCGGTTTTAATTGATTTTTCGCTCGCTTTGTTTACTAAACAATTCGTAATTCATAAGCTAATGCATCGAACGAAAAAAAAAAAAACAAAATAGAAAAACACATTCATTTAAAACAATTTTCACCAGCGATCTGGAAAATTGCTACCTACAAAATGGGCTATGGACGCGCATACAAACAAGCACTTGCGTGTGTGTGTGTGCAAGTGTTTGTGTGTGTGTGCATATTTCGAATATCTTTTAAGGCACCGCATGTAAAATCACTAAATATAGATTACAGCCACACGCACCGCATCGCAGCACATTGCAACTTTCATTTACACCAAGAGAGAGGGAGAGAGAGCTTCAACTTCGCCCTGCCCTCTCTCTCTCTCTCTCTCTTTCTCTCCATCGCCCTCTAACCATCTGCAAACGACTATTGTATCTAATTGTATAGACAATTGATATGAAAAACGACCACATTTGGACATTTTATACTTAAATTGCCGCTTGGCATGCAGCTTGAGGCGCAGCTCGTTGCAACCAGCAACAACAACAACAACAACAACAACAATATGTCGTTTCGGTTTTCTGGGTTTGCTGAATGGTTGCGTCGCTCGCGAAATTTGATGCTAATACTTATGCTGACTGGCAAACCGAATTAAAACGCGTCGCCAGCTGCCACACACACACATGCACACGCACACACACATGCAGCAATTGTGTGGCAATAAGATACAAAAGTATCTGCAAGCCGACTTGCGCTTTGCTTGGGGTCGCTCATTTGCCTGGTTGGGGGTGCATGTTGCATTCATTTCATTTCATTTCGTTTCGTTTCTTTTGGGTCTGCATGCACCAAGCCAAAACAAAACAACAACAAAAACTATCCTGCATGCCGCATCATTCAACATGTGTTTGTCTCATAAAATGATGATCCTAATTGATATGCGACTATTCTTGTTCTTCTTGTTTGCAGTAAATTGAATGCAGTGCCCCACCCAAACAATAAAATATAAAAACTGTGTTGCCTTCACCGAGCTGTGGGCCCCAACACCCAACACAATACAACTAACTAAGAGCCACTAAAACCCCAACAACAATAGCAGCAACAGCAACAACAAAAGCAACTAAATCTAAATCTAAGCAATTGCCTTTATTATCTACTTATTATTACTAAAAAGCAAAAAGAAATACTATTAATAATACTAATTAAAGTAAAAGATTTATTTGAAGACTTTCAGCTGTCTTGTTTTGTGTGCCAAACCACATTCTACAGTCATGACATAATTGGGCGAATATTTTTGCAAATCTTGTGCGATAAGATAGTCAGAGGGGGCAGCCAGATAGGCTGACAGCAGCGGCGGCAAACTACAAGATACATTTTGTAGCGCATCGCTGCAATCTCTTGCCGCCTGCCGCTTGCTGCTGTTGCGGCGTCTGTCTTGCAGAACCGGCTAACTGTTTGTTATTTTCATGTTGTTGTTCTGCCAGATACTCAGAAGTAGGCTCTGGATATGCTGCGTGCTTTTGCTTATCTCTCTGCCAGCCACGTTTATAGCCACAGATACATTTGTATCTGAACAGTGACAGTTTCCAACTGGCAGCTGCGCCTGTTGGTTTTTTATTTTTTCTTTCTTCTTCATCTTAAAGCGTAACTAGTGATTTCATAACTGTGTCCGAAAAATTGCCAAGCATGTTAACAATTAATTTGTGCAGTATAAATAAATTATGTACTTACAATAGCATTGCCAACCGGGTCGCCTTATAGAGCCCCACTCAATGCGCATCCCATATAAGGCCAAAGCGAACGCAACTCAATCGCATTCGAGTTGCAATTTGTAAAGACTGCAAATGCTTTACGCTTTGCCACAAACCTAAAGAAATAGAAAGTTTTTTTTTTCTTTCTTTTTTAATTTTCAATATATAGAAAAAACAAGCATCTCGGTCTCTATGATTAAGACACGAAATGAATAATCAAGTTTATATGTAGCACAGCAGCAGCAGCGAGCCAAATTTTATGTATGTGTTTTTAAATTTAGACAAAATCCGAATAAATTGTGTGGAAAATTTGAAAAGAAGGTGCAAGGTGAAGAAAAAAAGGCAATTCAAAAGCCAAATAAAAATTTTAATTAAAAACATTTGCATGTGTCGAATGTGCAGAATATTAAATTATATCTGGCATATCACAAAAAAAAAAGTACCCTAGTTAGTCACTGGAATCGGAAGATAGGTATGGATATGCTCGAAGAGCTGAGTGCACTTTCATTGTACACTTTTACAGTATCTAGAATTTCGATAGATTTGCTTTTTTGATTTTGTTCTGCACACAAAATGTTGAAAAATACGTGTCAAAAATAAATCGTATTATATTTTTAGCAAACTTACTCAAAAGCCGAACACTTGCCGAAACCGAAACGAGAAAAACTGAGAGAAAACCCAATGATTTTCTGAAGTCAAAGTGCTGTGTGCCCATGGGCAGCTCTCAACTAGTTGAGCATCGGGCTAAACACAGCAATTTGACTTTGACTATGGGCGCAGAGCAGCGCAGGCTAAAATAGAGATCGATGAGATTGAAAGTAACACAAAGTCGATGCGGTGAGCTGCTACAGCGGAAAGCAGCTTGAGGAAAATTGATAGTTTATTTGGTTCAGTGGTTCTTCGACATATTTCTGTTATCTTCTAAGCCTTAAACTAACTGCAGAGCTAAGAGTCAAGCTAATGACATTTTTGCCACTAAGTCGAACCAGCAGAGCCTGTTTCGAAGATTAAGACAAATTACCAGCCGCTGCCCCGTTTCCACTGCCAGCTGTTTGGCTGCCTGTTCAAAGGCCCCTCACCGAGTAGTGTAGCGCACTGGCGCTCTCTCAGCATTTTCCACAACAACAATACGTGTGGAAAGTGCAAAAATATCTCATGTGGAGCGAGAGCAGTCGCACACGAAGATCGTGTGGCTCTCGTATCGGGCGCCTTGTGCAGCTATTTGATCGCGTTCTCAAAGATATTTTGTCATTCTTCGCTCGCACCTCACAAACGATCGACGTCTTGGTTTCAGTCTCGGGGATTATGACTTGAAACAGTTGAAAAATAGATATTATTTAAAGAAATACATATATATATATATACGGTACCTATACACATATATATATATATATATATATTTGTTCAGCCATATAGTTCGCATAGAGTTTTTAACGAAAGAGTCGCAGCATACATATAGAACGTCGCAAGGATAACGCATTGAAGTAAGAATCATCGATTTTTAACTACGATTTCAAGTGTTAAAACTGTGAATATATGGAAAATGTTGATGAAATTTTTTGGTTTCGTAACCACTTTGAAAATTCCGAAAGAATTTTTCAGTGCGCTAAATATCTAAAAATAATCAACGAGCGGTGCTTCGGTCGCGTTCGACGGGTGATTCGGCACATCGCTCGGCACCAGATCGTGGGGTCCGCACCCAATTCGACGAATGGACTGTGAATTCGTGCATACACACAAAGAGTGATGTGCATATAGATATGAATATGCGATCTGATTCAATGATATCTAATATACACACGTATATTTAAATATATCCATTTTGTTATGCTTGGCAAATGTGCATAAGTGCATTATCCTGGCTAATCCTGCCCAGGATTACAGGCTACGATAGCTGTGATAATGTACAGAACTGTGAAAAATAATGCTCAATATATTGTGTATTCATTATAAAAAAAAAATAGAAGCGAGCATTGCAGAGTTTTCGCATTGGAAATACCAGAAAAAAATGTTATAAATAGCCCCTGAAAAATAAGAAGATACCACCGACATAGTGTATAGAAGACGTCTCTGTATCGGCTGCATGAGTGTGTTTGTGTGTCGCAGTGAAATATTCGAATGGCTAAAAATAGCCCGAAATGCCTCAGAGGCACAGAATATGAATATGAAGAAGGATGGATGGTGCTGGTGATGTTAATGATGAAGAAATCTTTTTTGATATATGTATTTATATCTGAATCTATATGCAGCTCGGTCAAAAACAAAAGAAAAAATCGAAGAAAATTCGAGTGTGTGTCAGATAGATTAAAAGAAAGAAAAGAAATGTGTGTATGTGTTGGGAAAACTCAAAAGAAAATCGAAGAAAAGAAAAGGAAAATATCAAAAATTAAATTCAACGTTTTGCCAAACGGCTATTTTCGTGTGATAAATGTTTAGTGGCTTGTTTTGTGAAGAAAATATATATAAAATTTTAATGAGATTTTTCTTTTCTATCTTGCCTTGTATTCAATTTCAGCAATAAAGAAGCGAAAGTATCTGTAAAGAAATATATTTCAATATATACATAAATATATAAAGTGAAGAAGCAAATCAAAAGAGAGTAAAGTGATCGAGAGGTGTTTTATTTTTAGTGCAGTCGACAACTGCATCGATTTGGTTGTCATTTTCAATGATATATAGTGATATATAACGACTTAAAATGCAACGACAAAATCCGAACCCATACCAGCAGCAGCCGCAGCAGCAGCAGCAGCAGCAGCAGCAGGAGCAGCACCAACAACAACAGGTGCAGCAGCAATACTCCACCCAGGAGTATTCGCACTCCAGCCAAGAGCAGCATCAGCAGCAAAGGATTAGCCGCACTGAACAACATGTTCAGAGGAGTCAAATCACCACTCAGCAACGAGGTCAGTCCGTCTGCCTGTCTGTGCCCGTCTGCCATGCAATACCATGCCATGCCATGCCATGCCATGCCATGCCACGCCATGATATGCCATTCCATGTCCAATCATCGATGCGGCTTGTCTCGCTTACGGATTTCAGCAAGCTGTATTGGCCAGTGGGATTCACACCGTGGATTTAGAATCTCCGCTGTTCCAAGCTCTTGTTACTGAAATTCCATTCCGATGCAGACAAACGCTTTTTATCATGAACATTTCATTGAAACCTTGATTACTTGCATGTATTTATTTAATACTTGATTTGCTCCTTGATGATAGGGATTTGCTTGGCATCGAACCTGACTTTTAAGCTTATTTGATGAGATTTTTCTTTATATTATTTTAAGGCATCAACTAATTTTATGCGTTTACAACACATTCTAAGCTTTTAAATGTTCGAAATATGTGTTTATCTTACATATTAGCATTGAATATATATGTAATTGGGCCAAATATGACATACTGAATTTACAAGTAACATTTATAATTTTTCAAAATATGAAATGGGATGAGTAGAGAAATTTTGATTTAAATCTTAAACAAACCACTAAGATGGTTGTACTTCCATTATTCTCGAGTCAAATATTTAAATCCAAATTATTCTCAAATTTCAATCAAGAATATGATATCTATTCAATTTTTGGATAATTGTTCTAAATTTCAATTTCTTAATAATTCTCAGTATATTTTTTGCTGGTACGCGAAATACGATCAAAAAATGCAGTTTGTAATATGTAAACACTTTCTAAATAACAGAGCATAAATATTTATATAAAACGAGCATGCATAGCTTCTGAATAACAAAATGTACCCCTGCGATATCTCCAAGAGTTGACACAGCGCATTGTTAGAACATTTCATTATTATTCCCTTCAAAATTTAAACTTTATTTATCATCAATTAGCCAATGAACAACTACTTGTTGGATCAAGAGAAAATTAAAGATCAAATTTGATTGACCAAAGAATGGAATATTAAATGTATAATTCATCTAAAATCATATTCTTTGGTCATTTTCAATGTATGACTCACCATATGAATATGTAGCTATAGATGCAAGCACAAGAATTATTCATTCTCATCTTATATTTCAATACTTATATCTTAATTGATGATCAGCCAAAAATTCGATCTATTTATAAATATTTCCATTCATCTGCCAAAATTCTAAGCGTACGCTGCATTGACATACATATACATAAGTAAATATATATATTAGAATAGAATAGTATAAGAGTTCTTATACGATTCACTTTGTTTACATTTTGGGGATGCTGCATGAGTCATGGGATGGAGTGAATAAGATATATAACACTTGAGAACTCTTATACTACCAGCCGAAGATAGCCGAAGTACATTTGCCGATCTTTTTGAGTCTGCGCACAAAGACAAAGATAGTAGCCAGAGAGCGAGAGAAATTAAGCGGCGAAATAGAAGAGAAAGAGAAACAGAGATAGAGAGAGAGAGAGAGATCGAGAGAGAGAGAGAGAGAGAGAGAGAGAGATAGAGTGGGAGAGTGTATATTAACAGCTGATCTTGTTTGTTTACATTCACAGGATCGAATTAGAAAACAAACTAATGTAAATAGTAATGACACACTTTCGAAAAGTATCTATAAGCGCCAAGATATACACAAAGAAATATATATATATATATATATATTTTTAATTTAATATGTCTGTATATACTAGAATATATATATATATATATATATATATAGACTTTGTGTGCGTGCCAACTTCTAAATATATGTAATCCAAACTAGAAATATACAACCTCGACAATGAGCTAACATTTTCAAGTTTTTGTTAACATTTGTATTTATTTTTTAAAAACAGCAAAGAATATGAAACTTTTTGGGAGTGAATGTTGTTATATATTAAATTGAACCTTATTGTAATAATTTAACTGCATTAATTTCGTATAAAGCTTTTGCTGAAGCATGTTCTTTGATTGCTCATAACTAACATTAACTAATTATTTAATGGTCGATTTTATGAAGTTTTATTTTTTTTTAAATTTTCAAAGTAAAGTTCTCACATATTTTTATTTTCATCACATTATCCATTAAAGCAAGCTTCATTGCACTTCTTAGCTGCTTTCAACTATATTCAATACCCTTTTCAATATTACAGTACAACAACATCAAGGCGGTGTCGGAGGCACCTATGTACCGCCCTCGTTGACACACGTTTATGCCCAAGGTGACATCTCACCGCCTGTATTCGAGCAAATCTTCAAGAACGCTCGCTTCGCTCAGGGTGGCAACGCCCTGTTTGAAGGTAGGCTGCGTGGCAACCCGAAGCCATTCGTTACATGGACCCGAAAAGGCGCACCACTTCTCGAGTCGCAAAAGTTTCGAATGAGCTACAACGAGGCCACGGGTGATGTGTCCCTGCTGATCAACCAGATCGGGCCCGGAGACGAAGGCGAGTACACGTGTACGGCTCGTAATCAGTACGGCGAAGCCATCTGCAGTGTCTATATACAACCGGAAGGCGCACCAATGCCTGCACTGCAGCCCATCCAGAATCTGGAGAAGAACATCTTCTCCAACGGTTATTCGTATACGTCCATTGAGGAGGAATTCCGTGTGGATACGTTTGAGTATAGACTTTTGCGTGAGGTCTCCTTTAGGGAGGCCATTACGCGTCGTTCTACCTACGAGCAAGACACTCAGCTGTCCCATGAGCTGGATCGCTCCCTGGGCCCTGCGCAAGCACCACAAATATCGCAGAAGCCCAGAAGCTCAAAGCTCATCGAGGGCTCTGATGCTGTCTTCACAGCCCGCGTGGGCTCCAACCCGAAACCACGTCTCACCTGGTTCCACAACGGACAACGTCTGGTAGCCTCGCAAAAATATGAGATCTCTTATTCGAGTGGCGTCGCCACTCTGCGTGTGAAGAACGCCAATGCCAAGGATGGAGGCCATTATACCCTCTTGGCTGAGAATTTGCAAGGCTGCGTCGTCTCCTCAGCTGTGCTGGCCGTCGAGCCGGCAGCTGAGACGGCCTACGAGCCCAAGCCCGTGGATCAGATGGCCGAGCAGTTGGAAGCTGGCAAGGCTTTGCCGCCTACATTTGTCAAGGCCTTCAACGATCGCGAGGTCACCGAGGGACGCATGACGCGTTTTGATTGCCGTGTTACTGGCAATCCCTATCCCGAGGTCTTCTGGTTTATCAATGGCCGTCAAGTGCGCGACGATGCTTCGCACAAGATCCTGGTCAACGAGTCCGGCAGCCATTCGCTGATGATCACAAACGTGAGCCGCTTGGATGGCGGCGCTGTACAATGCTTGGCCCGCAACAAGGCCGGTGAGGTCGCCATCGAGGCGCAGCTGCATGTGCTGGAGAAAGAGCAAGTTGTCGCACCACAATTTGTTCAACGCTTCAGCACGATGACTGTGCGCGAGGGTGAGCCCATCAGCATGAGCGCCAATGCCATTGGCACACCAGTGCCGCGCATCACCTGGCAAAAGGATGGTGTACAAATTTCATCAACTGCTGAACGCTTTGTGGGCATCGATGGCGGTGCCACCTGCCTGGAGATACCCCAAGTGAAAGCGACCGATGCTGGCTGGTATCAGTGTACCGCACAAAATATTGCCGGTTCCACAGCGAACCGGGCAAGACTCTATGTCGAAGTTCCCAGAGAGCAACCAAGTCAAGAACAAAGGCGTCTCAATCTACCAAGACCAACGAAAGTTATCGAGCCTGAGTATGTCCTTGAAAGCCTATTAGACATTTATCCCTTTCATTACATAAGTATTTGTCTTTTTAGGCCAATCCCTGGTCCTGAAATCATTTATTTGCGCCATGTGGAACGCGCCAAGCCCCATCTGCGACCTGGCGAGGAGGATCGCGTTTATCCTCCACCACAGTTCATTATACCCCTGCAGAATGTGCAGCAAACCGAAGGTGGTCGAGTCCACATGGAGGCGCGCATTGAACCCGTCGGCGATCCAAGCATGGTCGTCGAATGGTTCCTCAATGGTCGTCCGCTGGCAGCCAGTAAGTAGCTGGGATACATAATGCGTATACTTTTGATTAATCTCTGTTATGCTTCCGCAGGTGCCCGCGCCACATCTGTATTCAAGTTTGGCTTCATTGCTCTGGATCTGCTGAGCATTATGGGTCACGATTCTGGAGAATACATGTGTCGCGTCAGCAATGCCAGCGGTGTGGCAGAGTCGCGCGCCATTTTGTCGGTGGTCCAGCGACCATCGATTGAGCAATCGTCGCAGAATCCGAACAGCTTGCAGTACATCAATCAGCTGGAAGATTACTCGCGCTATCAGCGCCAGGAGAGCTTAGAGGAGTTGATGAATCAAGCTCCACAATTTATACGTCCACTGCGCGATCTGGGTGAATTCGAGGAGGGTAAGAATGTGCACTTTGAGGCGCAAGTGACCCCAGTGAATGACCCCAGCATGCGTGTGGAATGGTACAAGGATGGCTTACCAATTACCGCTAGTTCGCGCATCACGGCCATATTCAACTTCGGTTATGTCTCCCTAAACATATTGCACCTACGCGCCGAAGACACCGGTAACTACACCGTGCGCGCCGTGAATCGCATTGGCGAAGCCATCAGCCAGTCCACCATACGCGTGCACACGCGCTCCCAGGTCACCGCCGATCTGGGCATACCCGAACAGCAGCGTTACATTGAAAAGGTTGAGGAATTGGAGGACTACCGCAAGTCCCAGCAGCGTCGCCATGTCCAGGAGGCCCCGGAGGCCATTGCGCCGCCCAAATTCAAAACACCCATCCAGAATCAGCTGGATTTGCGTGAACACGCGCATGCGCATTTCGAGGCACGTCTCGAACCCATTGGTGATTCAACCATGCGCGTGGAGTGGCTTAAGGATGGGCAACCTCTTGAGGCTAGCTCGCGCATAACCACCTATCATAACTTTGGCTACGTCGCGTTGACCATCAAGCAGATAACCATATACGATGCTGGCACCTACACCTGCCGCGCCTACAATGCCATGGGGCAGGATACAACCACGGCCCAGTGTACGGTCATATCGAAGAACGAGATTGTCTCGGACACACAACATCCGGGTGGTCTGCAAAAGATCCAGCATTTGGAGGACGCATCACGCTATGGTCGTCGCGAGGAAGAGGAAACGTACATAACACAGGCACCGCGTTTCCTGGGCCCACTCAAGGGCACCACCAAGATCCTGGAGGGTCAACGCGCTCACTTTGAGGCGCGCGTGGAGCCACAAAGTGATCTGGGCATGCGCATCGAATGGTATCACAATGGACGCGCTATTACCGCAGCCAATCGCATACAAACATACTATGACTTCGGCTATGTTGCCTTGGACATTTCACAGGTGCGCGCCGAGGATGCGGGCATCTACACTGTGGTAGCTAGAAACAAGCTAGGTGAAGCTCAATTGCAAGCAACGATGGTAGTGGAAAGTAAGTAGCAAATCCTTTCAACCCTTTGAGATCATTTAATCGCACTTTTTCTCTTGCAGCTCGTTCCAACATCGACACATCTAGCATGCACCGTGGCCTCTATGAAAAAACGCAGAATCTGGAGAACAAACCATTCGTGGAGCCCCAGTATGACATCGAGGAGATCTCAAAGTCGAAGCCCGTCTTTGTGCAGCCTCTTACTGATCCCAAGCCCATTCACGATGGCAAAAACATTCATCTGGAGTGCCGTCTTGAGCCCATGGGAGATCCTACAATGCGCGTCGAATGGTTCCATAATGGACGCCCGGTCACCGTCGGCTCAAGGTTCCGCACTTACTACGATTTTGGTTTCGTCGCCCTGGACATCATTCAGGCTACGGCAGCGGACTCTGGCGAGTACACTGTGCGCGCCACCAATCATCTGGGCTCAGCCCACACCTCCGCCTGTGTGCGTGTGATTGATCGCACCGATGTGGTGACTGAAACCCAAAATGAGCAATCGCTGGAGCAGATTCAGTTGCTTGAGGACTCGCGTCGGCGTCACCACCAGGAAGAAGATATAACCATCATGCAGGCGCCGCAGTTTACACGTGCACTGCATAACATCGAAACCGTCGAAGGCACCAATGTGCATCTGGAGTGCCGCCTGCAGCCCGTGGGCGATCCCAGCATGCGCATCGAATGGCTTGTTAATGGCAAGCCAGTAAAGACGGGCCATCGTTTCCGTCCCGCTTACGAGTTTGATTATGTTGCGCTGGACTTGCTCGGCTGCTATGCCATTGATTCGGGCGTCTACACGTGCCAAGCACGTAATCAATTGGGCGAGGCTGTCACCTCCTGCTCCGTGCGCATCATCGCCAAAAAAGATTTGATTCTGGAAACCCAGAATGAGTCTGGCCTTCAGAAGATTCAATATCTGGAGGATTCCTCACGGTATCGTCGCAATGAGTTTGTGGATGAGGTGGTCAACATTCGTCCACGCTTTCTTACCCATCCAAAGAGCCTGACCAACACCCGCGAGGGTGCCCACGCCCACTTCGAGTGCAAAATAGAGCCAGTCACTGATCCCAATCTGAAGGTGGAGTGGTTCAAGAATGGCCGTCCTATAACCGTAGGTCATCGTTTCCGTCCCATACATGATTTCGGCTACGTGGCCTTGGATATTATTGGCCTGATTGCAGAGGACTCTGGTGTTTACACTTGCCGGGCTGTTAATCTAATTGGCTCCGATGAGACTCAGGTGGAACTGCAATGCCGCAGCGGCGAACAAATTGTCACCGTTACCCAGAACGAGGCTGGTTTGGAGCAGATTCATTATCTGGAGGATCGTTCCCGTTATAGCCGCCGCGAGGAGGTCGACGAGAGCACCAAGCAGGCGCCAGTCTTCACCACCTCGTTGAAAAACGTTGAGATCAAGGAAAATCAGCGCGCCCATTTCGAATGCCGTTTGATTCCGGTTTCCGATCCCTCGATGCGTGTAGAATGGTACCACAACAACTTGCCCCTAAAATCCGGCTCCCGTTTTACAGAGACCAGCAACTTTGGCTTCGTTGCCTTAGACATAATGTCCACCCTGCCAGAAGATGCGGGTACCTACACTTGCCGTGCCTACAATGCAGTGGGTGAAGCCATCACCTCTGCCGTTGCCGTGGTGCACACCAAGAAGTCCATCTATTTGGAGTCCCAGCACGAGACTGCATTGCCAAGACTGCAGCACTTGGAGGATGGCTCCAAGCGTCAACGCATTAGCGTTCAGGAAGAGTTTGTCTCGCAGGCTCCAGTTTTTACCATGCCCGTGAGGGATGTTCGTGTAGCTGAGAACCAGGCTGTGCACTTTGAAGCCCGTCTTATTCCCGTGGGTGATCCAAAACTCAAGGTTGAATGGCTGCGCAACGGCCAGCCCATTGAGGCATCTAATCGCACAACCACCATGCACGACTTTGGCTATGTGGCTCTGAACATGAAGTACGTGAATCCCGAGGATTCTGGCACCTATACCTGCCGTGCGGTTAACGAGCTGGGTCAGGCCGTGACATCCGCCTCTCTGATTGTGCAGTCTAAGACGGCCATTCAGCTGGAGACGCAGCACGAAGCAGCCATGCACAAGATTCATCAGCTAGAGGATCACAGCAAGTACCAGCGCCGTGAGGAGGAGGAATATACCGTTACCACTGCGCCCACGTTTGTCACCAAGCTTATTGGACCCACCAATCTGGTTGAGGGTCAGAGTGCCCATTACGAGTGCCGCATCGAACCCTATCCGGATCCAAATCTGAAGGTTGAGTGGTTACATAACGGCAAGCCCCTGAGCACCGGCCATCGCTTCCGCACCACCTACGATTTTGGATTTGCCGCCCTCGATATTCTCACTGTCTATGCGGAGGACAGTGGCGAATACACTTGCCGTGTGACTAACAATCTGGGCGAGGCTGTCAACTCGATTGCCCTCAATGTGACTTCCCGTTCGTCGATTATTCATGAAACCCAGCACGAGGAGGCGCTGCATAAGATTCAGCATCTGGAAGATACCTCCCGTTTCCAGCGCAAAACCGAAGAGGAACAATTCCACGCGGAGCGTCCACAGTTCGGACGCCCACTGCGTAATGCTAAGGTCAATGAGGGCACACCCGTACATCTTGAAGCCACACTGATCCCTGTGAACGATCCCACCATGAAGGTCGAATGGTATTGCAATGGCAAACCCATCCAATCGGGACACCGTTTCAAGACCACTTACGATTTCGGTTTTGTTGCCTTGGACATACTGTATGCCCACGCCGAGGATACGGGCACCTACATGTGCAAGGCCAAGAATGCTGTTGGGGAAGCTGTCACGACTTGTGCTGTAAACGTAACAGGTAAGCTCGCAGATCGCCAATCCGTATCCATTACTAATCGGTTTTAACTTTTAGCAAATAAGACACTGGATCTGGATACGCTCGATGCTCAGCGACTGGAGAAGATTCGCCAGCTTGAAACCTATGTGGCACCCGCAAAGGTCGAAGTGGAGGAGAAAGGACAGAAACCAATTTTCCTTACCCCACTTAGCAACCTAGAGCATCTTAAGGAGGGCGAGCACGCCCATTTGGAGTGCCGCGTTGAACCTATCAACGATGCCAAACTGAAGATAGAGTGGTTCTGCAATGGAAAGCAATTGCCTACTGGACATCGTTATCGCACCACCCACGACTTTGGCTACGTAGCTCTGGACATTTTATACGTTTATGGAGAGGACACAGGCACCTATATGTGCAAGGCCACCAATCTCCTGGGCGAAGCGGTCAACACCTGCAATGTGCGTGTGCTGAACCGACGCAGCATGATCCTAGACACTCAGCATCCTGATGCACTGGAGAAGATACAGAAGTTGGAGTCTAAGGTTGTCACCACACGCACAGAAGTCGGCGATCACCCCATTGGTCCACCCCATTTCACCGCTGAACTGCGTGGCTCCACAGAGATATACGAGGGGCAAACGGCACACTTTGAGGCCCAGGTGGCGCCCGTGCACGATCCCAACTTGCGAATTGAATTCTATCATAATGGCAAGCCTCTGCCCTCGGCTGCCCGTTTCCACATCACCTTTGACTTTGGCTATGTGTCATTAGACATTACCCACGCCGTGGCCGAAGATGCAGGCGAATATTCTGTGCGTGCTGTTAATGCCTTGGGTCAGGCCGTATCTAAGACCAATCTGCGAGTGATTGCCCGCGGCACTATTATTTCGGACACTCAACATCCTGAAGGCCTAGAGAAGATACGTAAATTGGAGTCTACGGCACCGCATCAGCGCCAGGAAGTTGAAACTCCTGGCACACGCCAGCGTCCAGTGTTCACACAACCGCTTCAAAATATTGATCGCATCAATGAGCACCAGACCGCCCACTTTGAAGCTCGTCTGATTCCAGTGGGTGATCCCAACTTGAAGGTCGAATGGTACCGCAACGAGAAACTGATCGAGGATAGTTCCCGAATTACTAAGCAGCATGACTTTGGCTTTGTTTCGCTGGACATCTCGCACATCCGCAAGGAGGACGAGGGCGTTTATATGTGCCGCGCCATTAATCCGCTGGGTGAGGCCGTCACCACCGCGTCTATGCGTGTGGTTACTGAGGCCAGCATCCAAATGGATACTCAGCATCCGGACAGTATCCGTCGTATTCATCAGCTGGAGAAGCCGCTGGCTCCACTTCCCACCGAGCCGGAGCGTCTCTTCGAGAAGCCCATCTTCACACAGCTTCTTACAGGCCCGTCTGAGCTGTGGGAGGGCGCACATGCGCACTTTGAAGCCCGTGTTGTACCTGTTGGTGATCCCTCACTCAAGTTCGAGTGGTTCATTAATGGCGTGGAACTGCAAATGGGATCCCGTCTGCGCACCACCCACGACTTTGGCTTTGTCACTCTGGATATTGCCGCTGTGGTGCCTGAGGATGCTGGTGTGTACATGTGCCGCGCCTACAATGCCGCTGGCGAGGCTGTGTCTTCCACTGCCATGAAGGTGAAGACGAGAGCCAACATTGATGGACAGCCCTTGATTCCCGAGTCCTGGGAGGCCATTCGCCTGAAGGAGGCTGCAATGAACCGTGTGCCCGAAATGTTTGTGGACTCTACACCACAGCAGGCTCCAGTTTTCACCACCCACTTGCAGAGCTACGACAAGTTGCACGAGGGTCAGCATGTTCTTCTGGAGGCTCAGGTAGAGCCACGCGCCGATCCCAATCTGCGCATTGAGTGGTTCAAGAACGGAATCTCATTGACTACCGGCTCTCGTATACGCAGCACCTTTGACTTTGGCTTGGTAACCTTGTCCATTAACGGCTTGCGTGAGGATGATTCCGCTATTTACACTTGCAAAGCCACAAACCAGGTGGGCGAGGCGGTGTCGACTTCGTCACTCAAGATTGAAGATCGCCACTGGCTACACGCTGAGTCCCTGCATCCGGACTCTCTGCCACGAATTGGTGAGCTGGAGGCACCTAAGGAAGGTCGTCCAGAGGCCCCAGAGCCGACTTATGAGACGCCTGTGTTTATCACGCATCTGAACAACATTGAGTGCAAGGAGAGCGACAATGTGCGCTTTGAGTGCAATGTGGAGCCAGCCCGTGATCCAACCATGAAGATTGAATGGTTCTACAATGGACAACCCCTGCAGGCCGCCGCCAAGTTCAAGTCCATCTATGACTTTGGCTATTGTGCCCTGGATCTGACTAATGCGTATGCCGAGAACAGCGGCATCTATACCTGCAAGGCCACCAATAGCAAGGGCTCGGCCACCACTTCTGGAACATTGAAATGCACTGGTGGCAAGACCATGTTCCTGGACACCCAACATCCACAGGGTGAGAGCGGTCTGGAAGCTGTGCAGGAAACGGAAGAGGCATTGGCCAATCGATATGCCCAGAAGACAACCAAGCCGGAGACTCAATACCCACCACCATACTGGACAAAGCCACTTCAGCAGGAGTTCCACCTATCAGAGGCGCAACCCATCCATCTGGAAGCCAATGTGGAGCCCAAAGAGGATCCCAACTTAGTTATCGAATGGTATTTCAATGGCAAGCTGCTGCAGCATGGTTCACGCTTTAAGATGACCACCGAATTCGGTTTCGTTACCATGGACATGATAGAAGTGTACTCCAGAGATCAGGGCATCTACACTTGCAAGGCCTACAACAAGGCTGGCGAGGCATTCACATCCACAACAATATTCTGCTCTACCAAGGACAGTATCATTGAATCCACTCAACATCCAAAGGGCGCTGAAGGTCTGGAGCAGATTCAAGATCTGGAGGACTCGCTGCGCAAGGATGGCAGCAAGCCGGAGCAGCCAGAACAGGGCATTGCACCACGTTTCACCACCGAATTCGTTAACATTGTGGATATTGGCGAAGGCGAATTGGCCCATTACGAGGCTAATCTCATTCCTCTGGGAGATCAGAGCATGGTCATTGAATGGTTCTTCAACGGAAAGGTTCTCGAGGCCAGCCATCGCGTGCGCACCATCTATGCCTTTGGTACCGTCGCACTGGAAGTGCTGGGCACCAAGATCGAGGACACTGGCACCTACACCTGCCGCGCCACTAACAAATATGGTTCGGCTGAGATAAGCTGCACTTTGGAGTGTGTGGAAAAGCCACGTGGTCAGAAGCCGCACTTCACATCGCATATTCAACCGCTACAGGGCCTGAAGGATAGTCAATCTGCGCACTTTGAGTGCACCCTGATTCCGGTTAATGATCCGGAGCTCAAGGTCGAGTGGTATCATAATGGCAAACTGCTCCGTCACTCCAATCGCATCAAGACGGTATCCGACTTTGGCTATGTGGTCCTGGACATTGCCTATCTGCAGGATCACGACAGTGGTGAATATGTTTGCCGAGCCTACAACAAATATGGCGAGGACTTCACCCGCACCACTCTCAACTGTGGTGGTCGTGGCGGCGTCTTTTACGACAGCTTGCAGCCCGATTCACTGCAAAGGATTCGTGAGCTGGAATGCCCACAGGGACAGCAAACGGATACCAGCGCACCACTGGTTGCCGAGCCACCCAAGTTCATTACGCAGATCAGCGATGTCACCAAGCTGGTTGAGGGCCAGAGCGCTCACTTTGAGGCGCGCCTGACGCCGATTACCGATCCCGACTTGGTGGTTGAATGGTATTTCAATGGCAAGAAGCTTCCACATGGCCATCGTTTCCGCACCTTCCACGACTTTGGCATTGTCATCCTGGACATACTCTACTGCTACGAGGAGAACTCTGGCGTTTACGAGTGCCGTGCCTATAACAAGTACGGCGAGGATGTTACTCGTGCTAGTCTGAAGTGCGCATCCAAGGCCAGTCTTATTTTGGACTCACAGCTGCCACGCGGCATGGAAGGTGGTCTGGAGAAGATTGCCAATCTGGAGTACAGCATGGTGCGCTCACGTGAGGAGACTACAGAAGAAACCAGAGGCAAGGCACCTGTATTCACCGTGCCACTGGAGAATATTGAAAACCTGCGCGAGGGCGAGAATGCTCACTATGAGGCACGCATTACGCCCGCTGATGATCCCAAGCTGAAGGTAGAATGGTACTGGAATGGCCGTCCATTGAAGGCAGGCTCACGCTTCCGCACTTTCTGCGACTTTGGTTTCGTCATCTTGGAGATTTCGCCCGTTTATCCCGAAGATTCGGGTGAATACTCGTGCCGTGCCATCAATGAGTATGGTGAGGCTGTGACTACTGCAACGATGAAAATCCAGGGCAAGCGCAGTATCATCATGGAATCGCAACTGCCCAAGGGCATGGAGGGCACCATCGATCGTATCGCCGAGCTGGAGGGTCTGGGCTCGCGCAGCACAGAGTTTGTGCCGGAAGACGATACAGGCAAGCCGCCAGAATTTATTACGACGCCTTTCGACATGGTCATCGGAGAGAACTCCTTGGCCCACTTCGAGTGTCGTCTGCAACCCATTAACGACCCGTCTATGCGTGTGGACTGGTTCCACAACGGCAAGGCATTGTGGGCCGGATCTCGCATTAAGACCATTAACGACTTTGGCTTTGTTATTCTTGAGATTGCCGGCTGCTACCAGCGGGATACAGGTCTGTATACCTGCAAGGCAACCAACAAACATGGTGAGGCTACGGTGTCCTGCAAACTGCAGGTCAAGGGTCGCCAAGGCATTGTTATGGAGCCGCAGCTGCCCTCGAACTTCCGCACTGGCACTGAGAGCCTGCAAAAGCTGGAGGAGAGCATGCACAAGCGGGAAGAGATTGTCATCGATGAGGAGCAACCAAATCCGCCCAAGTTTACTGAGCAAATCAAGGATAACTTGGATGTGCCAGAAGGTGGACCGATACACTTTGATTGCCGCGTAGAGCCCGTTGGAGATCCAACAATGCGCATCGAATGGTTCTACAATGGACGTGTCATGGCCACCGGCTCCAGAGTGCATCAACTGAACGACTTTGGCTTCATTGCTTTGGATATTGACTACATTTATGCCCGCGATTCCGGCGAGTATACCTGCCGTGCCACCAATAAATGGGGCACTGCCACCACCACTGCACAGGTCACCTGCAAGGGCAAGCACAACATTGTTTATGAATCGCAGCTGCCCGAGGGCATGACCGCCGAGAAGTTGAAGGAACTGGAACGCGGACGCATACCAGAGGCACCCCAGATTGTTGAAGAGCAGTTTGGACCACCGAAGTTCATCACTCAAATAGCTTCATGCACGGCCGAGGAGTCTGAGGCCGTGAGGTTCGAATGTCAAGTAGAGCCCAAGACTGATCCCAGTCTGCGTGTTGAATGGTATCGCAATGGCAAGCCTTTGCCCCTGGGTCATCGCTATAGAAACGTCTTTGACATGGGCTTCGTCTCGCTGGACATTTTGTATGTGTACAGCGACGACTCTGGCGAGTACGTTTGCCGCGCTGTCAACAATCATGGCGAGGATCGCACCAAGGCTACCGTCTCCTGCAAGAGTAAGTCACATCATATATTGCTTGTATTAATTAATGCTAATCTTTCTAAAATCTCTTCCTAGAATTGCCAACGATATTGCTGCAAAATCAAGTGCCACGTGGCATGAAACGCTCAGACGCGCTCACCCAAATGGAGGCTACTATCAAAAAGTACACGACCGAGGTGCATCTAACCGAGGATGATCTTTTCGATCCCGATCGCAAACAGCCACCTCGATTTGTTACCCAGATCAAGGAACAGCTCACATTGACGGAGATGGCCAAAACCAAATTCGAGTGCCAGCTGGCGCCTGTGGGTGATCCGAACATGAAGGTCGAATGGTTCTTTAATGGCAAACCTTTGCTCTACAGTAAGTACTGAAAACCCATAAGCAAAACCTTAACCATAGCCATAATTTATACTTGTAGAGAATCGCTTCGAGCCTATCTACGATTTTGGCTATGTGGCCATGAACTTCGGCTGGGTATACCCCGAGGACAGCGGCGAATACGTTTGCCGAGCCACAAACTTGTATGGCATGGATGAGACTCGTGCCTTTATCAAGGTCTCCGGCAAGCCAGGTATTGTCTACGACTCCCAATTGCCGGCCCATATGCAGAGCATTGATCGCATTCGCGAAATGGAAGCTTCCTGGCAAGTGTAAGTTGTCTGAAGTATAAGCTATAAAAAACCATTCGATAAATTTGTTACCTGTCGCACAGTGTGCCCGATGAAGTTGATCCTGATGCCAAACCTAGAACGAAGCCCATGTTTGTTAGCAAGCTGGAGCCACAGACGGTGGAGGAGGGTGAATCCGCCAGGTTCTGTGTGCGCGTCACCGGACATCCACGTCCTCGAGTCATGTGGCTAATCAATGGTCACACTGTTGTGCATGTAGGTTTCCTCTGACATATTTAATTGCCTATTCCATACTAATTTTCTTATATACAGGGATCTCGTTACAAACTGACCAACGATGGCATGTTCCATCTTGATGTACCCAAGACGCGTCAATATGATACTGGCAAGGTGGAGGTTATAGCGCGCAACTCTGTGGGCGAATCGATTGCTTCGACCGAACTGAATGTTGTCGCACGCTCTGATGATTATCGCAATGTTCTCAAGAACTCACCACGCCGTAAGTCACACACATACACACACACACCCACACACTTGTTTCAAATACACCTGGTTATACAAGCAGATATATATAAATATAAATTATTTTAACAGCTATATGAAATTAACACACATTTTAAATGCAGTAGTTTTTAGCTGGCAAAACTAAAAAGAAAAACACGAAAAACACCACATTAAATACCTCATTGTAAATATACATACATATATAAATATATATACATATAAGGTCCACATATAGAACGCATATTTAAGTAAACGTAGCTACAGCAACCAAGTTTATTGCGTTTGAAGCACATGCCACAAATATATAGAATATATGTAGGTCAGACAACTGAGAACCACAAATCCCCCGTACAATATACCCAATTCCCTACGAGAAAACGCTTTCCTCTAATTATCCCACAAGAGCCCATTGTTGTCTACTCAACGAGCTTTCAAGGAGCGACCCAGAGGGAACTACGCCTTTATGGACTCCATCACTAAGTATCGCTGGACCATCGGGTAGTATGGTTGTGCAAGTTTTTAGTGTGCGTGTTTTAAAGACTGTCTGTTCTAAACTGTGGCTGATCATATTCAACTTCTGTCTGTCTTCATAAGCAATTGAAACGAAAACCTAAAGGAGTTAGTAAACCTCTGTGAATATCATCAAAAATATTTGTCATGTCATAATTTCTTTCTACTTATTTTAATTCATGTACTAAAACTAAAGCTATAGGAATGCAGTTTTACCTAACCAATATGCTCGTAACGGCATGCAAATAGTTATTTTTTCTTCGTAATGGTCCCTATGTGCCTAGCCATAACCCTTGGCAAGTGTTTAATCTCGTTCATTTGTTTTTGCATATAGCCTGGTACGACTATGAGCTAGCAGGCTATCAGAAGGAGCGTCAGGATAACGAGTTAGAAAAGGTATTCGATGAACGTAAGCAATATTTGTCAGAGCAGAGTGCGCACACTCTGAAGGGCGTTGATCATTTGAAGCCCAAGCAATATAAGCCACAAACACCCGAGTGGCAACAGAGCGTCAAGGCCAAAAAGAGCGAGGAGTACTACAACAAGTTGCAGGAGCTGGAAACTGAGCAGCTGCTCAAGGAGACCACATTGCGCAGAGATAACCATCAATATGCCATACCCGGCGAGAAGGTTGTCAGCAGCTCAGCTGCCAAGGGCATGGCACAGTCCTACGAGGAGAGTCTGTAAGTGCACATGCACTCATTCTAGTAACTTATAACAATATCTCAACTTCAATCTCTACAGTCAGGAGCAAACTAGCACCACTCAAGTCAAGGCGGCACCACCAAAGGGCGTAGCCCAACCTTCGGAATCCTCTGTGCATGGACGTGAGGTGCACATGAACAAACAGCAGCAAGTCCAGAAGGAGATTCAAGGCGATTTGGAGATTACACGCAAGATCACGGCTACCGAGACCACAGAAATGGAGCACAAGGGTACAATTCAGGAGCGCGTTGTAAAGGGTCCCGTCAAACCCGCAAAGGCACCCGTCTTTACCAAAAAGATTCAGCCATGCCGCGTCTTTGAAAATGAGCAGGCCAAATTCGAGGTTGAGTTCGAGGGCGAACCAATGCCCACTGTAAAATGGTATCGCGAGAGCTTCCCCATTCAGAATTCACCCGATCTGCAGATTCACACGTTCAGCGGTAAATCCATATTAATCATACGCCAAGTTTTCATTGAGGACTCGGCTGTCTTTTCGTGTGTGGCCGAGAATCGTGGCGGAACTGCCAAGTGCAGCGCCAATTTGGTAGTGGAGGAACGCAGACGCGCCGGCAAAGGCGGCATTCAGCCGCCAAGCTTTGTGAATACCATTCAAAGCACCACCGTGGCCACTGGCCAACTGGCACGTTTCGATGCTAAGGTGACCGGCACGCGCCCCATGGATGTTTACTGGTTAAAGAACGGCATGAAGGTTCAGCCAAGCATCAAATTCAAGATGCTGGAGGAGGACAACATTCATACATTGCTGATCATTGAACCCTTCGCCGAGGACTCTGGCCGCTATGAGTGCGTGGCTGTTAACGCTGCTGGCGAGGCACGTTGCGATGGTGATTGCATTGTCCAGTCTCCCACAAAGCCGGAGAAGCCAACTACGCCTGGTAGCGAGAGGCCACCGCACATTGTGGAGCAGCTGAAGAGCCAGTCCGTGGAGGAGGGCAGCAAGGTGATATTCCGCTGCCGTGTGGATGGCAAGCCCACGCCCACAGCTCGTTGGATGCGTGGCGAGAACTTCGTGAAGCCATCCCGCTACTTCCAAATGACACGCCAAGGCGAATACTATCAGCTAATCATATCGGAGGCATTCCCCGAGGATGAAGGCACCTACAAGTGCGTTGCCGAAAACAAGCTGGGCAGTATTCAGACCAGTGCGCAGCTCAAGGTGCGCCCCATTGAGAATCTGGATGCACCACCAACCATAACCGCTCTTAAGGATGTCTCCGTCAGCGAAGGTATGCCAGCACAGTTCAAAACCACTGTAACGGGCAAAGTGAAAGCGACCAGTGTGCAGTGGTTCCGAGAGGGACAGCTGATACCTGAAACACCCGATTTCCAGGTAGGTTGAGTAAAAATTGCTCCACTTTGCAACAGAAATATGTTTTCGCATTGCCAAAAACCAGTTGATTAAACCAACTTTGATATCATTTCAGATGATCTTTGATGGTAACAGTGCCGTTCTATTGATTGCCACCACCTACGAGGAAGATTCGGGCATCTTTACAGTACGTGTGACTTCGTCAACTGGACAGGTCGAGTCATCAGCCAAACTGACTGTTAAAAGTAAGGATTAAACTAAAAACTAAGCAAAACCAAAACCAGAGTTCGTAAACAGCAAGAAAACAAACGTAAGCGAACAGTGTTCGAAAACTCCAAAGAATGCTCAAAAAACATAACGACCAAAAACGAAAGGAATTATTCATATATTTATATATGCATATATTTTTTTTACACAACGGATCCCTATACTGACGACGTTTCAGCCCAACTAACTAAGTACTTTCAATAACTAGTCCAAAAAGTTTGAGCGAAGAATATTTTAAAGCGAACGTTACGACAGTTTCATTTTTATATTTTTACTACAATATGATTTCATTTAAAACAACGAACGAGTTCTTTTAATTACTAACCAACTTCAAAATGTGAACCCAAGCAACAATTTAATGAACGATGTTTAACACGAAAAAGGTAACAAAAACAAAATCCAAAAAAAAAAAATTCAAGTTTATTTAAAAAGAAATTAATATTAATAAAAAAAAAAATAATAATTACAAGTATTTTGCAATATAAATATTTATAGAACATTTTCTTTTTGGCATAGCCAATCAAGAGGGAATAGCTTGTCGGTTGTATATAAAATTCAAAAATCGTGAAATTTGAGTGAAAACGTTGTGCAAAGTGAAAGAAAAAACACTCAACACTTTTGCCCCTTGAGTGAGAATTATAAATAAGGCAGCTTATGTACTTTCATTTTGGTCAGAATACCTACACATGCACAAACTTAAGTGTGTATATACAGCTCAGGCACTTTATAAATATGTTGAGTTCCTTCTGTATCTAGCCTACATATAGCTATGTGTATAAGAAAACATATAGAAACATGTGTCGGAATAGTTTTGGGGCCGTGTGCAAAACGCACATTTGTCCCGCCTCCGCTCGAGCTTGAAAGTTTTATTTTTCATTTGAATATTAGCATAAAATATTGTGGATGACACATCTAGCGCACACGGTTCCTCGTAGCTTCAGCTCTGCTGTATCCATGTCCATGCCATAGCTACCAAATGCTTATATGAATATCTAGAAATGAACGTGCGCAAAACTAGCACAGCCAAAGGGGGGATACGATAATGAGTAAAAAGCGAAAATATTGAAAGGCATTGCAGACATTGAATTTCAGCTGCCAACAGGCAGATTATCTATATGCTATACTACTATACTATATATGTATGGCTGCTGTCTATTCTATTTTCAATTTCTTTTTTGGAAAATGTTTCTGCTTTGAAAACTAATTTCCAATAGATTAGCTCGAAAGAAAAAAAAGAAGAATAAAAAAATGGACAAACCGTTTGATATTTTTAGACCGGAGCGCTGTCTGGATATTTCTTTTGTGGCTACAATGAAAAACATTTTATGTATTTTTCAAGTAAATCATGAAATTTATTTCAATTCTCTTTCATTTAAAAATTAGAAAAATAAAATAAAAAATAATATTGGCTTTCAATGTTCGGGCGCTGATGAAAATAAACTGACATTTAGTTCAGGCGAAAATAAAATAATTAATTACCTACAAGTTGTTTGTTTTCTGCATAGACCAAGATATGAGTAGCCGATTTGCCAGAGATCTTTAAGCACACACACACACACACACATACACATATGCAAAGGCACATGTCTATTCATTTGGGTATATGTTAGTCATTAGACAAGAACATGAATAAATGACTCTGTTTATGGTGCAGAAATGGTTTTAATTAAATTAATCAGTTACGGTAGTTCACTCATCAAATTGGTCCTCTGCCTCTGATTCACACATTAGTTTGTTTATTTTTAGAAGGTAGCCCCCTGCTAGCGCCTATTTTGTATCCAACCGACAATTTAGCAGCAATCCCTGTTGAACGAAAGAAATGAATATTAGTATTGAACGTTAGATATTGGAACGATACTTTGAAGTATTACGATCAAACTTTTACCATGTACTCGACCATGTACTTGACCTAGACAGAGACAGCTATATATATACACACATACATATATGATTGTTCAGACATACGAAGCCTCGAAACGTATTATATTATTTGACGTTTGATTATAATCAATTTGTATTGTTTATTTAATTTACAATTATTTATTTTGTAGTGATGTTGCATGAGATTTTATTATTCATTTTTTATTGCCGCTTTTTACTACTAATTTGTTTCGTTCTCATTTCTTCCACTTTTTGTTACCACTATCAAACTATTTCGCATTTCCAAACACACAAACCGATTC